TTCCCATCATGGGCATTTAGTCAGTCCCTCTGCAAACAGGGCACTGGTATACCTGGGCTGCCTTTGGTCGGATCCAGCAGCCAGGCCCTATGTTAAATGAAGCTCCTCCGGAAGGGAGCCATGTGGCTTTTGCCCGGCAGTCGCCATACGGGGGAAACACAAAACCACCAACGCAGTTTCAAAATAATTCTTTCTTCCTAGGGAGCTCAGAGAACTGAAAAGGGGAAGGTCAAGGACTTCTGGTTCATTTCTGGTTTCAGAACGGCCGATGTTTTCTGGTATAAAACCAAACTAAAGTGCCAGTATAGAATGGGCACACGCAAACACGTGCCCCTATTTTCCAGGGATTTGCAGAAGCCGTCCCGGTTTCTGATTTGATCCCGGAATGTCTTGCTTTTCCTTGTTTTGTTTGTTTAGTCATGTCCAACTCTTCGTGACCCCCTGGACCAGAGCACACCAGGCACTCCTGTCTTCCACTGCCTCCCGCAGTTGGGTCACACTCATGCTGGTAGCTTCCAGAACACTGTCCCACCATCTCGTCCTCTGTCGTCCCCTTCTCCTTGTGCCCTCCATCTTTCCCAACATCAGGGTCTTTTCCAGGGAGTCTTCTCTTCTCATGAGGTGGCCAAAGTCTTGGAGCCTCAGCTTCAGGATCTGTCCTTCCGGTGAGCACTCAGGGCTGATTTCCTTCAGAATGGATAGGTTTGATCTTCTTGCAGTCCAGGGGACTCTCAAGAGTCTCCTCCAGCACCAGAATTCAAAAGCATCAATTCTGTTGTTGTTGTTGTTGTTGTTGTTTAGTTGTTTAGTCATGTCCGACTCTTCGTGACCCCCTGGACCAGAGCACACCAGGCACTCCTGTCTTCCACTGCCTCCCGCAGTTTGGTCAAACTCATGCTGGTAGCTTCGAGAACACTGTCCAACCATCCATCTCGTCCTCTGTCGTCCCCTTCTCCTTGTGCCCTCCATCTTTCCCAACATCAGGGTCTTTTCCAGGGAGTCTTCTCTTCTCATGAATTCTACTCAGCTTTTTTAAAAAAAAAGTGTCCCCGGATTCATTGAAAAAAATCTGGTAACCATATGATAGATAGATAGATAGATAGATAGATAGATAGATAGATAGGACAAGATACAAGTTCTAGAAAGGAATGAGGACGTAACCATCCTTTTGGAGTAAAACCAGCACGATTCAAGCACGCTCTTCTGATCAGGCTGCAAAGAACCATGCAACACCGCAAGGAGAAAGCCAAGTTTTGCTGGAGCGAAAAGACTGGTTTGGCAAGCACAGTCTAGGTGTTTGGGAGTCGTCCTGAGGCGCAGGAATGCCCCAGGGAATCTACAGAGAAGAATGCGTAGCCTTGGCATTTAAGTCTCCTCAGCTCCTGATACTGCTGCTAATCGCAGGGAGTTGGGATTTTTCCACGGAGAGCAACTTCTCCCCCCCCAACCCACCCCCTCGGACACCTTTGTGGATCTGTCTGATCCCCGAGGCTTAAAGCTGTTTGCAAGTTGACAGCTGCAAAAAATCATCGGAAGAAACCGTCGCGGAGGAGCACCGTCCTGCATCCTGAAACCAAGGCAAGGAGACTCAGCGGTTTGTTTAAGCGTGCTGGGAATTGCAGCCTTATCCAGGGCAAACTACAGTTCCCAAGATGCTTGTTGGGTTGGGTGTGCTCTAAATGTGTATTACACACACAGCCTCTTTCACTTTTTTTTTTTTAGAAAGCATGATTGATTTCCGACCGTGCAACAAGATTGCGGCCTCTTTCTCGTTCACACGTCACAATGGTCTTTTCAGGGTTCGGCTCAGGAGCTCTGTGGGTTTCTGAGGCTGTGTCACTGCTTCCTCTTATGATATAATAATAATAGTAATAATAATAATAATAATTTATACCCCCGCCCATTTGGCTGGGCTTCCCCAGCCACAAAATATTAAAATACCGTAATACATCAAACATTAAAAGCTTCCCTAAACAGGGCTTCCTTCAGATGTCTTCTAAAAGTCTGGTAGTTGCCTGGTTGCCTGAATATTTTCTGAGGTGGAAAAGGAAATCCAGTTACCAATGCCGGAAAGCGTTGTTATAAGAAAAAACTGCTCCTTTTCCCTTATGGGGTACCCAAAAGCCCATATAGAGTCCTTACGTGGGTTCCTTATTGGTAGGAGAAAATAACAGAGGCCAACCAGAGAATATTGAGAAGCAAAGCGGCTAGTAAGCCCGATCTTTATCAAACTGTTGCAACAGAGTCCCCACTCACCCCATGCAGGAGGGAGGAGAACCCAGAACAATGGTGCGCAAGCCCTTATATGTACTTTTGAAATTGCCCACCCTGTAGCCCAAGACCACTCCCCAAAAGCATCAAACATACATCACAGAAGGAGGTGGCCTACAGCAGAAATCCTGCCTGCCAGGATACCTGATAATGGTCACTGATTGCATTGCCTGGGCAACCTGGCCATCCTTTTGTGATGGTAAATACATTAGTTCCTGACTCCAGGTCACAGGCTCACCCTATTCATACGCAAATACGCCCTTAAGACAGGATTTGCAAGCAAAAAGACAATGGGAAGGCTTTCCCCATTTGCCTCCCTTCCTGCAGAGGAATATCTGAGGTCACTGGGAGAGTCAAAATGGCTTCAGGATTTCTCTCCTGTACTGTTTCAGACACGTGATTCACATACTTATGTATGTGTTTGCCTTGTACATTGATGAACATATGATTTATATATATATATATATATATATATATATATGAGACCTTAGAATTCCTACAACAGTGTTGTGATGGAGGTCAGGGGAAAGTGGTGGCTTTTCTTATTCCTGACCCAAGCGTAATACTCAGCGGAGGGTTTGTGTCTCCGTTGCAGCTGGTGACTGTCGGGGATTTCCCTGTTTTCTGCTCAGCATTGTAGCTGTCACACCTGTGGAACCAGAACTGGGAGGTTCTGAGTCATCTGCGGAGATGAGAGTCATCCCTCGGCTTAAAATGTGTGGCATGCCTTAGAAGCTTGCGAGGCCCCTGGCGGAGAGGAAAGGAGCCGTTTGCGGTGGCTGCTATTAAGAGAAGGAGGATTGTCACCCTCACTGTCTGCCTGGGTAAGGTTGTTTTCTGGGTTTCTTCCTGAGAAGGACACAGGAAAGTTCCCTAAACCATCACTTAACGGACTGGCTGCAAAGAACAGGCTGGAGGAGATCGGGAGAAGATGTTTCAGGATGGAATTTTTGTGCTTCCCGGCTGGAGGATTTCAAACGGTTTTAGGGCAGGCCTCAAAATATTTAGGGGTATGCGTGCTCCTTGCATTCGTGTCAGCAGTCACGAAATTAAAAGATGCCTGCTTCTTGGGAGAAAAGCAATGACAAACCTAGACAGCATCTTAAAAAGCAGAGACACTACCTTGCCAACAAAGGTCCGTACAGTGGTACCTCGGGTTACATACGCTTCAGGTTACACACTCCACTAACCCAGAAATAGTGCTTCAGGTTAAGAACTTTGCTTCAGGATAAGAACAGAAATCGGGCTCCAGCGGTGCGGCAGCAGCAGGAGGCCCCATTAGCTAAAGTGGTGCTTCAGGTTAAGAACAGTTTCAGGTTAAGAACGGACCTCCGGAACGAATTAAGTACTTAACCTGAGATACCACTGTATAGTTAAAGCTATGGTTTTCCCAGTAGTGATGTATGGAAGTGAGAGCTGGACCATAAAGAAGGCTGATCGCCGAAGAATTGATGCTTTTGAATTCTGGTGCTGGAGGAGACTCTGGAGAGTCCCATGGACTGCAAGAAGATCAAACCTCTCCATTCTGAAGGAAATCAGCCCTGAGTGCTCACTGGAAGGACAGATCCTGAAGCTGAGGCTCCAATACTTTGGCCACCTCATGAGAAGAGAAGACTCCCTGGAAAAGACCCTGATGTTGGGAAAGATGGAGGGCGCAAGGAGAAGGGGACGACGGAGGACGAGATGGTGGGACAGTGTTCTCGAAGCTACCAACATGAGTTTGACTCAACTGCGGGAGGCAGTGGAAGACAGGAGTGCCTGGCGTGCTCTGGTCCAGGGGGTCACGAAGAGGCGGACACGACTAAACGACTAAACAACAACAACATGCTCCTGCGTCCCCCCAGAAAAAAAGACTGCGTAAACCCACTGACATCACGGTCCACAGCCAATGGCAACTGCCAAAGAAGCAGCAACAACATCCTGCCCCCCCCCCAACCTGGCAATTGTGGGGGTGATAGTGGACAACCTTGTCTAGTTCCTTTTTATATCTTACAATCATCCGTTATCACCTGATTTACAAATAAGTTGGCTTTTGGTTCTGAATATATTGCTTGTATGCCTTTTAAAAATTTGAATCCACCATTAATTTCTTCAAGGAATTTTGTCATGAAATTCCAAGAGACGTCGTCAAAGGCTTTTTCGTCATCTATAAACATCATTGCTGCTTTCTTTTCATTTTTGACCTATAGGTATTTTATTACATTCAGAATATTTCTTATATTCTCTTTTATTTGTCTACCTGGAAGGAATCCTGCCTGATCTTGATGTATATACTCATTTGATTTTTTTTTCATTCTATTAGCTAAAATGTTTGCAAATAATTTAGAATCATTATTTAACAAGATAGGCCTATAATTTTTAATTTGCAGCAAATCTGAATCTTGTTTTGGAATTACTGTAATATGCCCTTTTCCATGTTTCTGGAATTTCACCTGTATTTAAAATCTCATTCATAACATCTTTCAATGGGTTTACCAATTGTTCACTTAGTTTTTTATAATACTTTGCCGTTAATCCAGCTGGACCAGGAGACTTGCCATTTTGTATAAATTAAAAATTATGCAGTTTTCAGATCGAATGCAAGGGAAACCCCACAAAGAGCGCAATGCAGCGATCTAACCATGAAGTCGCGAGTGCTTTTCCCCTCGGAGGCTGTCCACTTCCTGACCGATTCTGCCTTCTCTTTGCAGGTCGGGCAGTGGGTCAGTCGTCCCTCCGGTGACGCCGCCATGAGCTCGCATCCCCGCCGCGTCCGCCTGAAGCCCTGGCTGGTGGCCCAAGTCAACAGCGGTCAGTACCCGGGACTCCGCTGGGTGGATGCTGAGAGAAAGCGCTTCTTCATTCCCTGGCGCCACGCCACCCGCCACATCCCCAGCCAGGACGACGAGAACACCATATTCAAGGTGCGTGAGGAGGGGGAGATCTAGCTTGCCGGCTAAAATTCCCTATATATCCCACATAACAGTGCCTTTTTCAAAAAGTAGGAATTAGGGCTGCAACCGTTAAACCAACTTGGCTTAGAGTGCTTCCCAAACCTGGGTCTCTAGCTGCTGTTGGACTACAACTCCCATCATCCCTGACCGCTGGACGATGGGAGTTGTAGTCCAAAAACAGCCGGAGACCGAAGTTTGGGAAACACTGGCTTCTAGAGTGTCAGATCAGGACGTGGGAGACCAGGGTTCGAATCCCCACTTGCCCTTGGGAGACTGACGCTGGCTGTCGGCTCTAACCTACCTCACAGGGTTGTTGTGGTGATTAAACGAGGAGAGAGAGGAAAAAGGTGGGGTATAAATGCAATAATACCTACAGGACCACCTCTCCTGGTATGCCCCACGGAAGACCTTAAGGTCCACAAATAACATTTTGGAGGTCCCAAGCCGCAAGGTGGTTAGATTGGTCTCAACTAGGGCCAGGGCCTTTTCAGTACTGGCCCCGACGTGGTGGAACGCTCTGTCCCAAGAGACCAGGGCCCTGCGGGACTTGACATCTTTCCGCAGGGCCTGCAAGACAGAGCTGTTCCACCTGGCCTTTGGTTTGGACTCAGTCTGACCCTTATGTTTCCCTCCCCTTAGGGTCTTGATTTATCGGCTACTTTAAAATGAGGCTGCATTTGAAATTGCATTTTAACCTGTATTTTAAATTGGGTTTTTTTCCCTATTATGATTTTACTGTAATTTTACTGGTGTTAGCCGCCCTGAGCCCGGCTCTGGCCAGGGAGGGCAGAGTATAAATAAAATTGTTGTTGTTGTTGTGGCCGGGGAGGGCGGAGTATAAATAAAATTGTTGTTGTTGTTGTTCTTAAAACATGGTTAGATCTGTGTTTCCCAAACTTGGGACTCCCATCATTCCTGACCACTGGATGATGAGAGTTGGAGATCAAAGCTGGAGATCAAAGTTTGGGAAACACTGGGTTTGGGAAACACTAGAAAACCAAACGCCAATTAATTTGTTACTTCAAGTATTTATGCAAAATACTGAGAGCGCCCTGTTGGAAGAGACGCCTCTTCACCTCACAAAGGAGGGATTTTTTTTCCCATCCAAGATGGCACCTACTTGGACATCGGCTCTCAGTGCGCCATGTGACAACGAGGAGCGCATGGGCATGTCAAAAGTGTTCTTTTTCATGTGGGGCTGAGGGGGCCCGCAGGCAGGCAGCCCCCCAGATGTTGTTGGGGGTCTCCGTGGTGCCTGGTGGGAGATACAGCCCGGCAACAACATCTGGAGGGCACCAGGTTGGGAAAGGCTGGTCTGGGGTTAGGCCTAAGGGTTGCCATGGTAACAAGGAACGGGAGGGGGGATTTCTCCAGAGCAGCCGCCATTTTGCAGAATCCACGCCATGAAGGGGGCTCACCTGGTCAGGTCCTGGCAGGGCGTAAAAAAAAAGGTGTTTTTATTCTGCAAAGTTTTTAGAATTAGCTGGGGGAAACTTTCATCCGACGGCTCTCTACGATGTTGCCATTTAGATCTTGCTTTACCTTTGTATTGCTTTCTTTAAAATATTCATACATATATTTTTATTTATCTGCAGCCCAGGCAGGTTGGAAAGGTAGCATGGAGATCGTTTTTGAATATAAAGAACACGTTTCTTTAAAGGAAAAATTAAAACTGCATTTTTAGAAAACCTATAAGCAAAATGTTGACAATTATAAATACATAAAGCAGATTAGCGTATCTCTAGCGGGCATTAATATAACGACGGTGTCAAAAGAAATGAAAATTGTTTACCGATAAGCATATTTACAGTTCGCTCCTCTTATAAAATATTAGGGTGGTAGGCAACCTGATTTAGAAGTATGAAAAGTGTAAAGTGCCATAACAAAAATACAGAATGATGGTGGTAGATTGGGTTTTTTATACTGTTTTACTCTGATTAGAGTTTAATCATTTTTTAACAATCTTCTCTGCATTTTTATTTATTTATTTTTTGGCTTTCTGTATTTTATCTGTGTGGTTTTTAATTCGTAAGCGGCCTTGAGTCCCTTTCTGGGACAAAGGCGAGATGTATAATAATAATAATAATAATAATAATAATAATAATAATAATAATTTACATGAAAAACTAAAGAAGATGTTGATAATATCAATAACAAAGAAACCAGAGACATATCTCTTTGGATTGATAGATGATGAGATACCACGGGGGGGGGGGGATTTTGTACAGCTGCTAGAATAGAGATTGCTGCTAGGTGGAAGTCACAAACTATACCCACAAAGGAGGAATGGATTTAGAAACTAAATGAATATTTAATTTTGGCAAAATTAACTGCTATAATAAGAAATCAGTCGAATCAAAAATTAAAAAAGGAGTGGAAATGTTTTGATGAATATATGGCAAAATATTGCTCAAAAAAAGATACGCTAATATGCCTAGATTAAAATGTGAAGTACTGGATGGAAGAAAAATTAGTAAGGAAAGATAATAAGAATATATAGGTGATTTGAGAAGATTGTAGAATGCAAAGATTATTGTAAATTGTATAATGTGGAGGAAATCGAGTGGGAGGAAGGAGAAAAGAATAATATGATGGACTGAGGAAATATAAATGTAAATGTATGAGGGGATGAGGAGGAAATGGTGTTGGCTTTGGTACATCTGTATTGTAATGTAATAGGTGAAAACCAATAAAAAAAGATGAAAATCATCGTCATCCAAACGACACAGAAACACCATTAATAACTACAAATTATTGTTACTGATTCTATCACTGTTGCATGTGGGGATGTGTGAGGGTGGCACTGGATATTGGTTCTTAAAACGGGCGCTCTCAGGTGGTGGTGTTTTAAATCTCTCTGCCCTGTGTCCTGTCGGTCCTTTTCCCAGGCCTGGGCCAAAGAGACGGGGAAATACAATGAAGGCGTCGACGAGCCGGACCCCGCCAAGTGGAAAGCCAACCTGCGCTGTGCCCTCAACAAGAGCCGCGAATTTAACCTGATTTACGACGGCACCAAAGACACCCCCATGCAGGCTTTCAAGATCTACGAGGTTTGCGATGCCCCACAGCCCAACGGAGGTACCAGCCGCCCCCTGTGCGCTTGCAAACCCCATCTTTCCTGCTGCTCCCCAAAAAGAGCCGTTTCCCGCACCCGTTCTCCCCACCCCTCCCCGAAGCAAAAGCGGGAAGCTGCCCGTCTGCTGGCTCCATTTAGATTTAGATTTATTTTTATTTTTTTTAGATTAGATTTAGATCCAGAAGACAGACAAAAACCCCATCATGCTCCTCCCGGCCACCCCCCGGGAGCCGAATGTGTTGCCTGTGAGATGCTTAGCTGCTTTGCCCCCTTGCCATAACTGGTCAAACAGGTCCGGCTGGCTTTTGAAGCCCTGTGAAAACCTGCTTGACCTGGCACAGCAGTGGGGACGTCTTACCATAGAGGCTAGTGGCGTAGGGCGCCAGGGCGCATAGCTGTCAACCGTTCCTTATTTGGCGGGACACTCCCTTATCCCAGCGCCGTGTCCCGCTGCTGTCCCTTATTGATGATGTCCCTTAAATTTCCCGGATTTCAAAGGAAGCAGCTCCTCTCCCTCCCTCCCTGCCAGCCAACTGTGTTGCTTGGCTGTGTTGCTCACCCAATAAGAAGTCTAAGAACGACTGGGGGGTGGAGCTTGCATGCCTTGTGCCGATCATTTTGGCCGCGTTGCCTGGGGACTCGCCTTTGCTCAGCGCTTCCCAGCGGAGAGGTGACGGTGGTTTTCCTTGCTGCGTCCCCTTTGCCGGGTTGCTGCGCTGTGGGAACCACCGTTTGAGGCTTCGTTTGGCTGCTGGTTGACTAAAATCCCTTATTTTGGCTGCTGATCCCTTATTTTTGAGGCTGCTGGTCCCTTATTTTCAAATCTGTAAGTTGACAGCTATGCCAGGGCGGCAAGTTCTGGAGGGCGCCAGGGAAAGAGGTGGAGGCTGGGCGCGGCGCCTCCCAGCATCAGCTCGCCGCGTCTGCCGCGCCGCACCGAAGCAGTGCCGCGCCGGGAGCCTCCACCTGCCATGGCCACCGTGGCACGAAGGATCCAGCTGAACCGGGAGTCGCCACGTCCAGTCTCCGCCTCTTCCCTGCCGGAGGAGCTGTCCTCCAGCCCCGCAAAACTGGGCGCATCGCTAGCAGTGCCGTCCTCCCTAAAAAAAGGTCGGCAGCTCTGGAAAATGGGGGGCGCCGGAGGGATCTTCGCACCACAGCGCCAGATATGCTTAAGACGGCCCTGAACATGTCCCCCACAGATAACAACACCGTGGTCTTATTTCCTTCTATTCTTTTATTTATTTATTGGTTTTCAATAAATATGGGGAAAAGACTCCATAATTAAAATGAATGTCCTGCCAAAATGCTATATTTGTTCCAAACGATACCAATTATGAATAAAGAGAATTGCTTTGAAGAAGGGAGGAAAGATATAACGAGATTCGTATGGCAAGGAAAAAACCCGCGGATAAAATATAAATGATTGACAGGAAGAAAGGAAAGGGGAGGATTAGCAGTGCCAAATTTAAAATATTATGAAGCAGAATGTTTCATTTGGGTAAGAGATTGGGTTAGATTGGAAAAAACTAAGATATTGGATCTTGAAAGTTTTAATAATAGGTACGGATGGCATGCGTATCTTAATTATGAGAAAGTAAAAGTCAAGAAATAATTTACAAGTCATATATTAAGAGGTGCGTTATATAAAGTTTGGAACAAATATAGATTGCATCTGGAACCACAGACATATTTCCTTCCATTCTTGGAGGCGTGGGTCAGGGATGGGATTGCTTCTAGGGCTGGGCAATATCCAGTTTTCAACATCACGACACGGCTCACAGGGCGATGTGCTGATACGTCACAATGTCTGGAATGTATCTTGGCTGCCTCTTCCATCTTCCCACCATAGGGAAGGAGGAAGCAGCCGGGACGCATTGCCTAGCCCTACATGGCAAGCAAGCCCCCATATTGCTCTGGAGGAACATGGGGGCTTCCTTAAACTGCTCAGCTGGAGGACATGATGCCAAGAGGCATTGGGGCTCGCTCAGCTGGGGGGCGGGAGGTTCCCCCCCCCCAGTCGAGCAGCTCAAGGTAGCCGCAATGCCCCTGAAAGCTGCCCGCCTGCCTTTGCCCGAGCGGGCGAGAGCATCTTGCATGGCGCATCTTCCTTGGCGCCCAATGACTTGAGCTGGCCCCTTGCGCCTGCTTCCTCGCCTCTCCAGCCCTTCAGCAAAATTCATTTTCTGCAGTCGCTATGAATTTGTTGAAGACGAGTTTGGTAACAAGTCTCCCCTCCTTCTCTCTCACATGCACACAACAGGATTTGCAAAAGTCGCCCAGATATTGCCATAGTTTTGAGAGTCAGTCCTCTCCTCACAACCCCTGTGCTGTAAACCTTTCTGTTTTTACATTTTGGGGGGGGGGAGGCTAATTCAGGTGGGGGGGACATGTAAAGCTCAAGAAAGAGGCTCTGGGGAACGTACAACATTTATTTCCCCCCCTCCCTCAGAGCCTTTCGCTGGAGATGAGAACATCGGCCCTGAAGAAGAGGAGGAGGTAAGGAAGAATGACCTACTCGCTTTCTCTTTCTGATCATTTTTCATCCTTTGAGGAAACTGCAGACATTGGCAAGTGGTAGTTGGACCTCTGCCCATGTTCTAGCAGATGGAAGGAAATGCTTAGCTGCCCAGAGTCTCGAAGTTTGCATGGATTTTATTTTTCAAAGGACAGTCATCCCGTTCCTTCAGTTCCGCACTCCCACATTCTGCAGATAAGGGTTTCTCTCACCTTGGAGCAATTAAGCTTGCGTGTGGGAGGCTGGGGAGCTAACAGCCCTTCTGGGTGTTTTGTTTTGTTTGTTTTTTTGCTAGACTACAACTCCTATCATCCCTGGAGGTGATGGGAATTGGAGTCCCACAACATCGGGAAGGGAGGTCACAGATGAGCCGACCCTGGTGGGTTGGGTTTCCAGATTCAAGGTCCAAGATCCTACTTTCTAAGAGACCCACCAGCAGGAGATCTGGGTGAAGTTTCCGCAACTCCGCTTACCACCATTTTTCTTGGCGTTTCCCTTTTGTCCAGGCTCCTTCTCCACTTTGAAAGCTGCAGATGTGGGAGGAGATATTCCCAGCAGTTTCATAGCCATCCCCTCCCAGGCTCCAAAGGCTGGTTTGGACACTGATTTATCCTGACACTCCATTTAATTTGCCTTTGCGTGTTTTCCATTCTGTGCTTTTATTATCTTTAGGGCTGTGCTATTGTTTTTATATTGTACGCAATGTGTACATTGCTTAGATATTACATATATACACAGAGAGAGATTTTTTCTTCCTATATAAATAGAAATGCAAGGCTGTCGTCACGCAGCTCCCGTTACAGCAGCCTTTCTCAACCTGTGGGTCCCTGGATGTTGTTGAACTACAACTCCCATCACCCCTAGCTAGCAAGGCCAGAGCTCAGGGTTGATGGGAGTTGTAGTCCAACAACATCTGGAGACCCACGGGTTGAGAACCGCTGCGTTAGAGGATTTGTAGTGCCTCCTCGCAGTCCTGGATTTGCAGGATGATAAACCCAAGAGGCCCAGCAAAGTGAGCTCAGTAGCTTGTAGAATGGAAGATTTGCAAGGGGACCCCGAGGGTCATCTAGTCCACCCCCCTTCAATGCAGGAATCTCAGCTAGAGAGGGGGGTCCGACTGGGGTGCAAGGGGAGGTTAGTTCTGCTTCCTGGGGATACCCAGGGTGTCTTCAAACATAGGTGCCCCAGCAGGATCTCTGCTCAAGGTCTTTCCCCACCGCCACTAACACCAATTGCTTGATTTGCAGTTGCAGAAGATGATGCCAACGCTACAAATTGCAGGTGGGTGCCAGAGGGGGAGGCGGCTGTGCTGGGAGGGGGCTGGGGGGGCACAGGGATGGATCATTAACCCAGCTGGAGTGACGCTTTGCTCTTGCACACTCCTGATGGTCATTTTCAACATTACCATCTCAAGAAACGTCCAGAAATTCTTGCACTGCATAGGAGACCTTACAAGCGGTGAATAGGCCCTATTATTTACTGTATTGCATTTACATCCCACCTTCAAGAAGTAATAATAATAATAATAATAATAATAATAATAATAATAATAAATTTATTACTTAAAACCCACCCATCTGGCCATGCCTCCCCAGCCTGGCCCACAGGATATTAAAAACACAATAAAACATCAGACATTAAAAACTTCCCTAAACAGGGCTGCCTTCAGATGTCTTCTAAAAGTCAGATAGTTGTTTATTTCCTTGACATCTGATGGGAGGGTGTTCCACAGGGCCACCACCGAGAAGGCCCTCTGCCTGGTTCCCTGTAACCTCGCTTCTCGCAGTGAGGGAACCACCAGAAGGCCCTCAGAGCTGGACCTCTGTGTCTGGGCTGAATGATGGGGGTGGAGACGCTCCTTCAGATATACTGGACTGAGGCCGTTTAGGGCTTTAAAGGTCAGCACCAACACTTTGAATTGTGCTCAGAAACATACTGGGAGCTCAAGCCAGTGTAAATTGTTTTCTTCCTCCCTTTATCGCCCTCACTACAACCTTGTGAGGTAGGCTAGGCTGAGAGTGAGTGCCTTATTTGGATATAACCCCTTGTTCTCACTGCAAAGCATCCAGGAGTGGAAGCAGGCTATCTAAGCCAGGGGTCAGCAACCTTTTTCAGCCGTGGGCTGGTCCACCGTCCCTCAGACCATGTGGTGGGTCGGACTATATTTTGGAAAAAAAAATGAACAAATTCCTATGCCCCACAAATAAACCAGAGATGCATTTGAAATAAAAGGACACATTCTACTCATGTAAAAACACGCTGATTCCCGGACCGTCCATGGGCCGGATTGAGAAGATGATTGGGCTGGATCCAGCCTCAGTTTGCCTACCCCTGATGATACTGAGCACTCAAGACCCTTACATTCCAGCAGCCGTGCCCATCCCCTCTTGTGCAGCTAGCAAAAGACACCTTCTGCTTTCTTCTGTGGGGGTCTGCTGTGTCTTGGGGCACCCCCATCGTTCAGCCTGGACACTGAGATCCAGCTCTGAGGGCCTTCTGGCGGTTCCCTCATAGCGAGAAGTGAGGTTGCAGGGAACCAGGCAGAGGGCCTTCTCGGTGGTGGCACCCGCCCTGTGGAACGCCCCTCCCTTCAGATGTCAAGGAAATAAGCAGCTATCTTATCTTTAAAAGACATCTGAAGGCAGCCCTGTTTAGGGAAGTTTTTAATGTTTACTGCTGTTTTTAACACTCGATTGGAAGCCACCCAAAGTGGCTGGGGAGACTCAGCCAGATGGGCGGGGTATAAATAATAAATTATTATTATTATTATTATTATTATTAATAATAATACCTGCCCCTGAGATCCCTTCCTGACATTTCATACGTGCTTGGCTCTCGTTTCCGCAGATCCGTCCCATGGCGTGGAGCCCCTGCCCCCCTACCCGTGGCTGAAACAGGAGGCCTTGTACCCGAGCGCTTGCGCCAACGGGTCCTTCCCTCATGTGGCGCGCATGAACGCTCCCCCTCCGCCTCCGCCCGTCGGCGCTTTTGCGGTAGGAGGGGAGCCTGCCGCGCCCAACTTCGCCGAACCGGCCGGAGCAATGCCCCTCGTTCCAGGGGATGTTCCCATGTCGGCGGACCTGGAGCCCCTGCGCCCGGGGGGCTGCCCGGTGGCGCCCATGGAGCAGTTCATCCCGGATTTGCTGATCAGCCCCCACATGCTGCCATGTAAGGATCCGTCCCGTGGCGGGGAGGAAGCGGGAGGGCGGACGGGAATCGCGAAACCCTTTGGGAAGGGGAAATAGCCGCCGCGGCTAATGTAGTGTTAGGATTAGAGCAGCGATGTCCAAAGTCCCTTTCAGGGGCCTACTCCGGTTTAATTCGACCCCTGTGGCAGTTTATTTCCTGGGGTAAAATCCCCCCCAAAAGCTCAACAACTTGAATCCTAGGAAAAGGTCAACAACTTTGGGGTAAAATTGTAAAAAAGCTCAACAGCTTCAATCCAATTGGAATCCAAGGCTGATGGGAGCTGGAGTCCAAGGCTGAGTCCAAGGCCGTTAGGGATGATGGGAGCTGGAGTCCAGTTCTGATGGGAGCTGGAGTCTTAAAGATGATAGTCCCAACCTGATAGGAACAGGAATCTGGGGCTGATGGGAGTTGAGTCCAACACCATTGAGGATGATAGGAGCTGGAGTCCAAGGCTGTTAGGGATGATGGGAGCTGGAGTCCAAGGCTGCACGTGGGGCCTGTTCTTTCTACAAGATCCGTTGCAATGCCTAAACATGCTTTTCTCCTTCCCGCAGTGACCGACTTGGAGATCAAGTTCCAGTACCGCGGCCGCTCGGTGGGCTCCCTGACCATCAGCAACCCCCACGGCTGCCGCCTCTTCTACAGCAACCTGAAGCCCACCCAGGAGCAGGTGGAGCTCTTTGGGCCGCTGACGCTGGAGCAGGTGCGCTTCCCCAGCGCAGAGGGGGTGCCCAACGAGAAGCAGCGCTTCTACACCCACCAGCTGCTGGACGTCTTGGACCGGGGCCTCATCCTGGAGCTGCAGGGACAGGACATCTACGCCATCCGCCTCTGCCAGTGCAAGGTCTTCTGGACCGGGCCCTGCGCCGGGGAGCTGGCGGGTCCCAATCCCATCGAGCGCGAGAAGAAGATCAAGCTCTTCAGCCTGGAGAGCTTCCTTAACGGTGAGGGAAAGGGCCCAGGGATCCCAGCCTCACCCTCCCTCCGACGCCAGGGCCCGCTTGGTCCCAAAGGAGGGGGCGAGGGCAAAAGCAGGCACGTGGTGGAACGGGAATCGTTCTCTGAACATGCTCAGAGGCATAGCTGTCAACCGTCCCTTATTTGGCGGGACACTCCCTTATCCCAGCGCCGTGTCCCGCTGCTGTCCCTTATTGATGATGTCCCTTAAATTTCCCGGGTTTCAAAGGAAGCAGCTCCTCTCCCTCCCTCCTCCCTCCCCGCTGGCCAGGGAGGAGGGAGGCTCCAACTGGGTTGCTTGGCTGCGTTGCTCACCCAATAAGGAGTCTAAGAACGACTGGGGGGTGGAGCTTGCATGCCTTGTGCTGATCAAATCGGCCGCCTTGCCTGGGGACTCGCCTTTGCTCAGCGCTTCCCAGCGGAGAGGTGACAGTGGTTTTCCTTGCTGCATCCCCTTTGCCGGGTTGCTGCGCTGTGGGAACCACCGCTTGAGGCTTTGTTTGGCTGCTGGCTGGGCTTTCTGCCTTTGGCTCGGAGGGGCTCAGAAGTTGAACATACCTGTGCTCTGAAAATCCCTTATTTTGACTGCTGATCCCTTATTTTCAAGGCTGCTGGTCCCTTATTTTCAAATCTGTAAGTTGACAGCTATGCTCAGAGGCACCGTCATCCCAGAGGGCCAAGCAGATGCGCAGAGGAAGAGGACAGAAGTCTCTGGGAATTCAGGTCTGGGCGGGAGTGAGGCCACTTTTCTCCCCAGCACAGAACAACCTCGCAGGGTCGTTGTGAGGATGGAATGGGGAGAAACTATGCAAGGCACCTTGAGCTCTTTGGGGGGGAAAGATGGGGTGCCAATGTTGTTGGCATCTGTCTGTCTTGAGAGACAATGGGGTGCCCCTCCATTGTGAGGTCAAACTGGGGGTGAGGTCAAACTGCTGGAGGATCATGCACAGGAATGCCATTTTTATTGTTACCATTTAATAATAAAAAAAAATATTTATATCCTGCCTTCCCCGTCCAGAGCCGGGCTCAGGGCGGCTGACACCAATAAAATCACAGTAAAAACATAATGGCGGGGGGGGGACCAATTTAAAATACAGGTTAAAATGCAATTTAAAATGCAGCCTCTTTTTAAAAGTAGCCCATAGATCAAAACCATAAGAGGAGGGAAACATAAAGGTCAGACCGAATTCAAACCAAAGGCCAGGCGGAACAGCTCTGTCTTGCAGGCCCTGCGGAAAGATGTCAAGTCCCGCAGGGCCCTAGCCTCTTGGGACAGAGCGTTCCACCAATTCGGGGCCAGCACTGAAAAGGCCCTGGCCCTAGTTGAGACCAATCTAACCACCTTGCGACCTGGGACCTCCAAAGTGTTGTCATTTGTGGACCTTAAGGTCCTCCGCGGGGCATACCGGGAGAGGCGGTCCCGTAAGTACAAATGTAAATAATGATGATGATGATGATGATGATAACATTCCTGTACATTTGGTTCTGCCTTGGCCAACCTTTGCTGAGGCTGATGGGAATATTAGCCCCGCAAGCCTGGAGCGCACCAGGTTCGTGGGAGGCTGGTTTGCTTTGTCCCTTTGGCTATTGTGCAACTTACTTCTGAGTAGACATGGCTAGGTGGGCACTAGCCATCTTGCCTAGGGGGCAACAGGGGGAAAAATGTTTGTTGTTTTCATGCTGTTTTGTGGCATTTGTAGTGCGACTCATGCAACACGTTGGCGATTAATATACACAGAACAATAATTATACATACTTTATCAACCTTCTGAGAAAAATACAAAACATTAAACAAAGCCACAAAGACTTGCGAGACAGGGTGCCGGCGTTTTGCACCTGTTTTGGCCTGGCAGTCCAAGTAATCAAAAGGCCGCTGTTTGCCCCCGATGAGGCACTTTAACTGGGGCTTGCAGGTAGCACACTCCCAAAATGCCAGCACCCTGTCTCACAAGTCTTTGTGGCTTTGTTTAATGTTTTGTACAATCGCCAGCGTGTTGCATGAGTCGCACTACGTCTATTAGCAACACAGGTTGCATTTTGCTAGCAGAAGCAAGATGCAGGGCTAAGGATGCCTTTGGTCCAGCAGCCAGTCTTTTCTGCTGGGGATGGAAAACTGCCAGGCTGCATCATCCCTGCCAACCTGTTCTCGCTTCGCGATGCTCGCAGCCTTCAACCATCCTGTTATGATTTTCTCTCCTCTCCTTCCCTTTCTGGTTCCCTGTTCCCTCCTTCCCTCTTCTCTTCCCCCAATGGGCCGTCAATACTTCCTGGCCCTTCCCTTTTCCTTTATTTTTAAAAAATATTATGTCATTCCCATCCTCTCTCCATAGGACTTATCATGTTCCAGAAGGGTCAGAGCACCACGCCACCCCCCTACGAGATTTTCTTCTGCTTCGGAGAAGAGTGGCCGGACCAGAAGCCTAAAGAGAAGAAGCTGATCACAGTCCAGGTGGGATGGCAGGGCTGTGTTTGTGTGTGTCCGTCCGTCCGTCCGTCCGTCATCTCCTTCCGCCCACATACCGTATTTTTTGCTCTATAAGATGCACCCGACTATAAGATGCACCTAGTTTTAAGAGGAGGAAAATGAGAGAAAAAATACTCTGAATCAAATGATGTTGAAGAGGGAGGAGGACGGATGATCAGACTTACCCCTTATGGAGCCCCTTACTTTCCTCCTCCCGCTTCGCTGAAGAGGCGCTACTCAGCTATCCCTAAAGCCAGCACAGCAAGAGGGAGAGCTGCTCAAAGCCTCTCCCTCTTGCTCTGCTGGCTTCTGGGATAGCTGCGCAGCCTGCATTCGCTCCATAAGACGCACACACATTTCCCCTTACTTTTTAGGAGGAAAAAGTGCATCTTATAGAGCGAAAAATACAGTGAATCAGGAGGAGGTACGTGTGTCCATGAAGGTTTTCAAGCAGAAGTAGGTGTCAGGCGGCAGAGGATCCAATCTTCACGGCAGCTTGCCAGGAACGGATAAGGCGAGGAAAAGTCCTTGCCATCTGCTTTAAATTCAATATTTACAGAGAGAGGCTTGGAACGCAACCTCTGGGAATAATGGTGTTGTCCTGAGTGACTCTCCGCCCCCTTTTCCTCCCACTTCCTTACTCATCCTCAGCTCTTTGCTCTCCTACTTTCAAGGCTCTCTGGGTTCTGGGAGAAGGGGGTTCTGGCAGGGCCAGATTTAGGTTGGATGAGGCCCTCAGCTCCTGAAGGTAATGGGGCACTTTCTATGTCCAGCTGTCCTTTGTCAACAACATATTGCCGCTGTTTTTTGTGTTGAATATGTGCCATGTGGTAATTTATGGACTTAAGGCATATCTAAAGCCATTTGCACATAACAAAATATGTATTTTATCAAAATAATTGTTACAACCAGTTCATGCAGAATGTAGGCACCCTATATATAGAAAGGAGCAAACCAGTGATATTTTAGGGAGCAGGCGGGGCCCATGACTAACATCATAGGAGCCTATACAACACAAAACACTGTTTTATTTTACAGTGGTACCTCGGGTTACAGACACTTCAGGTTACATACACTTCAGGTTACAGACTCGGCTAACTCAGAAATAGTACCTCGAGTTAAGTACTTTGCTTCAGGATGAGAACAGAAATCATGTGGCAGCAGCGGGAGGCCCCATTAGCTAAAGTGGTACCTCAGGTTAAGAACAGTTTCAGGTTAGGAACGGATCTCCGGAGCGAATTAAGTTCTTAACCAGAGGTACCACTGTATTGGTTTTTTATCTTACGTTTTGGAAATGTATATCCAGTTGGTTTTTTCCTTTTTCCCCTACTAGACGGGGCGGATTTATATGGAGGTACCACTGTAATTATTTTACCATTCCACCGCCCCAGACGCTCATAGAAGAGGGCACTCGACAAAGCACCGCTCTGCGCACGTGTGTGGAGCGGGTTGTGCTTCTGCGCATGCACAAAACGCTATTTAGCACTTCTGCGCAGGCATGCGCAAGCGGCAAACCCAGAAGTAACCCGTTCCGGTACTTCTGAGTTTGCTGCAGACGTCCGCCGAAATGGACACTGGACTGGGCGGACTTATATGGAGGTACCACTGTGTTTATTTTACCATTCCACCGCATATATGAAAGCGAGGCTGCTCTGCTTTTCCACCTGTGCACGGAATGACGGAACCCCCCCTTTTCCTTTGCAGGTGGTGCCAGTAGCTGCGCGTCTCCTGTTGGAAATGTTCTCCGGGGAGCTGTGCTGGTCAGCCGACAGCGTCCGCCTCCAGATCTCCCACCCGGATCTCAAGGACAAGATGGTGGAACAGTTCAAAGAGCTCCACCAGCTCTGGCAGACGCAGCAAAGCGTCCAAGTCCAGAGCTTGCAACTGGCCGGGCCCGAGACCTGGCCGATGCAGACCAGCACCACAAACAGCATGTAGCCATGACGAGGGGGCGCCTTGCCACCCCCAGGCCTTAGCCACTTTGCTAGCGGGCGGCCGATGCAGAACCACAGGGACTTGCAAGCTCTGGGGCCTCCCGGCGTTCCCAGTTAAGAGCCGGACTTCAGCAGGTGCCAAGTAGGGTCACGCAGCCTGACCGGCAATCTTTTGCTGAGCCAAGAGAAGCCACCGCGGTTCTTTGCGGGTTAAGGGCCTTCTTCCGATTGCTGCAAAAAAAAGTGAGCTGTCGAATGGAAGGGGTGTGGGGAGAGGGCCGCAAGGAACCGCAAGGGCAGGTCTTGCATCAGCGATGGGGGAAGTCCGTTGAGCTGGGTTGCAGCAGGTAGCTTTACTTAAGAGTAAGCGCTGTAGCGGGGAAGGGAAGACCAGGACTCCCACTTTCTAAAAGAGCCCCTGCGAAGGTCTGGAGCAGGGCACAAATGGGAGGTACCCCAAAGGCCCCCAACCCTGTGAAATTCAGTAACCACAGAGAACCATGCGCTGCTCTTGGGCCTCAGCCCCCAAAAGGCCAAAGATGGAGGCTGCTTTGTGCCTCCTTCCCCTAGGTTGCATGGATTGGGGCCAGACTTGCCTTGCTTGGTGCAAGCAAGCAGAAGAAGGAGTCTCTCCTCCGAGAAGCACCCTTTGCCAAGTTTGAGACACTCCACCAGCTCTGGCACTGAAATTCTTGACTTTCTGTTTGCAAGAGCGAAGAGTTTTCAGTCCCCGTGGCTGCGAAGAGATGTTCGGAAGCAGGTGTGCAGTGCCTTTGGAGCTCCAACGAGCCAAGGAAATTACCTGAAATGGGTTCTTTGTGGGCAAGAAGGCATCGCCACATCTAGGGCCCTGCATGTAGCTCCGCCTTTCCCCACCTGGTGCCCTCCAGGGGGTTTTGAACTACAACTCCCCTCGGCCTAACAGAACCAAGAATGCAGGTGGGTGAAGGTTTTGCACAATCTCAACAGAGAAGCTTCTCTGGGCAGGAAACCTCTGCGGGCAAGAGGGTATTAGCCAGCCTTTGGGGAAGGAAATGTGCCTTTTTGTGTTTCTGAATCCTGGCATTTGCATGGGGAGGGGTTGTAAATGTTAAAGCTTTGCAGGAACAGAACATGCTTCTAGAAAGCATCCCCAGCCTTCCTTTACAAAAATCTACGAATGCAAAAGTGCTTGAATCCAGAGGGAAAGTGATGGGGTTTGGGTTTGGGTGGGCAACACTTCAGGGTCTTCTCTACTTTTTTACTCCACCACCTGCCTGCCAAAATCAGAATCCACGCAGGTCACAGAACTCTGCTTTCCTTGGCAAAGCAGGTGGGAACAGTGGAGAGAGGGGTGGAAGGGAAGATCCCATTCCATGGGGAAAGCTTGAAAGGAGCCGGCGATTCTTTGCCCCACTGGAACCACCAAGGTATTTAGTTTCCTGCCGCTCCCTCTCCTTCCGAGTCGGACAAGAACGTGCCCTGCGGCAGGGAGGGGCATGTTGCAGTTCGCTGCTGCCAAACTGCCCTGTTACGTGGCCTCTGCCCGTCCACTTGGGGCAACTCGACCTCTGCCTGTGAAATAAACATGTTTACTCCGATCTGCGATGGCTGATGAGTGGTTGAGATGCCGTGGGAAACCTGAGAGCTCCGCCAGGGCACCTGCTGCCGCCTCCTGCAATTCTGTCCCCGTCGCAAGTGAGAGGGGAGGGCGGCTGAGGTGGGGGGTGGGGAGAATAACCACTGCAGGAATGGTACCTGGATATAGTTTGGTTGGGGGGTCAGGTGGGGGGGGAAGAGTCACTCCTCCCCCAAGGCAACTTTCTCCAGCTCCATAGGCCTTGCCAAAAGCACAGCTTCTTCCAACTTCGCAAACCATCCGTTCCTTAAGATGTTTACACTTTGGGATAAGCTGAGATGCACCCGCATGCAAGACATGGTGCCCAAAGTATGGCAGACCCATTTTTTTAAGCCCAAGGAAATGCCTAATAATAATAATAGTTTATTATTTATACCCCGCCCATCTGACTGGTTCCTCCCAGCCACACTGGGCGGCTTCCAACCAAATATCAAAAACAATACAGCGTCAGACATTAAAAACTTCCCTAAACAGGGCCGCCTTCAGGTGTCTTTTAAAAGTAAAATAGTTGTTTAAAATAGTGGGAGGGCGTTCCACGGGGCAGGTGCCACTACCGAGAAGGCCCTCTGCCTGGTTCCCTGTAACCTCACTTCTCGCAGGGAGGGAACCACCTGAAGACCCTCAGCACTGGACCTCAGTGTCCGGGCAGAATGATGGTGGAGACACTCCTTCAGGTATACTGGACCGAGGCCTTTTAGGGCTTTCAAGGTCAGTACCAACACTTTGAATTGTGCTTGGAAACATACTGGGAGCCAGTGTAGTTCTTTCAAGACTGGTGTTATGTGGTCTCAGCGGCCGCTCCCAGTCACCAGTCTAGCTGCGGCATTCTGGATTAATTGTAGTTTCCGGGTCACCTTCAAAGGTAGCCCCACGTACAGCGCATTGCAGTAGTCCAAGCGGGAGATAACCAGAGCATGCACCACTCTGGCCAGACAGCGGGCAGGTGGAGTCTCATCCTGCGTACCAGATGGAGCTGATAAACAGCTGCCCTGGATACAGAATTAACCTGCGCCTCCATGGACAGCCTTAAGGTAATTGGAACCATTTGTGATGGAAGCTTGGCAGTCTGCACTGAAGCATGGTGGTAAAACACACACCGAGAATGTGATCTTTTGACAGGACAAGGTTTGGGTTAATAAAGCCAGAGCTGGGAGTGTTGACGGGGAGAGCAGGGATAAGGCCTTCAAGGAGATAGAATCATTGTATTGGAAAGGGTGCCCGAGGGTCATCTAGTCCAACCCCCTGCTATGCAGGAATCTCAACCAAAGCATCCCTTAAATCCAACCTCTGCTTAAAAGCCTCTTTCTGAGGGGGTCAGTTCCGCTGTCAGTTATTGCTGCCGGAAAGTTCTTCCTGAAGTTTAGCTGGAGTCTCCTTTCTTGTAACTTGGTTTGAGTCCTGCCCTCCGGAGGAGGAGAAAACAAGCTTCCACCCTCTTCCATGTGACAGCCCTTGAGATATTTGAAGAGGGCTATCCTATCTCCTCTTTTCCAGGCTAAACATACCCAGCTCCTTCGACCATTCCTCATCAGGCTTAGTTTCCAGACCCTTGGATTATATTCGTCACCCTCCTCTGCACACCTTGCAGGAAGTTGGAAATAATGTGCGTATCTCAAAAACAGCCTCTTCTCAATTCAGACGCAAGAAGCAACAGCTTCCTGGCATTCCTTGAGCGTTAGGGGTGCAAAGGAGGGCGCACACATTCTTGACTCAAACCACCTGCTTGCTATAGATAGCAACATGCCTTCCTGGACATTCACACAGCTAAATCTACACTTGATCAGTAGCCGAGTTCTCTTCTCTCGGATTCCTAGAGCAGCCTTCCCGAAAGCTGGTACTCCGGAACTACAACTCTCCCCAGAGCAGTTGCGCTATCAACTGCCTTGCCGTTTTCTTAAAATAAATGAGGCACGAGCTTATTTTGCACAAGCCACTGGGAGAGGGGCCGTGATAGGGACGGCTGCTTGCTCGTCACAGCAGAGATGGGAGAGGATTCCTTTCCATTTTCCACCTTTACCTGGTTGGTCCGCAGCCAGGATGCCACCCCAAGCCCTTTCACTGCCTGCAAATAGAACGACAGGGTGGCAAAGCCTCCTGCGGCAGCCTCTTTCCTGGGCCGGTTCAGTGGCACCATCCTATTCCTGCCTACTCTGAAGCAAGCTCCATCGCAGGAAGCTGCCTTATACATTTGGCTCCCTCTTGCTCAGTACCGTACTTTTCGCTCTATAGGGCACACCTGACCATAGGGTGCACCTAGTTTTCAGAGGGGGAAATCAAGGAAAAGAATATGACACACACACACCCTCCCAGACCTTCTCCCTGCTATTGCGGGAGGTGGGGGAATTCCCCCACCTCCCGCAAAAGCCCACAGGAGGGAGAAGGGACTGACTCAGCCAGTCAGTCCCTTCTCCCTCCTTGGGGAAAAGCCCCCAAGAGCGGCGCGCTCTTTAAAAGGCTGCGCGGCTCCTGCGGGCTTTTCTAGGAGGTGGAGGAATTCCTCCATCTCCCGCAGAAGCCAAGGAGCCTGCATTCGCTGCACAGGACGCACACACATTTCCCCCTAATTTTTGGAGGGGAAAAAGTGTGTCCTATAGAGCGAAAAATACGGTAATGTCTGCACTGATTGGCAGCCGCTCCCTAGGGTATCTGGCAGGGAGTTTCTCCCAACTCTACCTGGGACCTTCTGCTTGCAAGGCAAATGTTCGGCCGCTGAGCTTGGGGCATTCCTTGCAGAGTTTGGGGGGGGGCATCTGATCCCACAGAAGCGTAAACCCCCAAATTCCCCTGGCTCAGGGGAAAGAGTGAGGGGGTCGCTGCCCACCCAAAATGAGCAAGAACTGAGCTGAAAGTACTCACGACAGCAAGGCAATTGCTGGAAACACAGATACAGTGGTACGTTGGTACTCTAACAAACGCCGCAAACCCAAAAGTGTTCCAGTTTGCAAACGTTTTTCGGAAACTGCGCCTTGGTTTTCGAACCGTTCTGGGAGTTGAATGGACTCCCGGAATGGATTAAGTTCGAGAGCCAAGGTATATAAGCCAATTCCAAATGGGTCGCCACAATGGAATGTCTATTTTTTTATGCAGTGAAATTTGCTGTTAAGTTTATTTTCATTTCTATACTGCTTTATATTTTAAAGAACAAACCTTAAAGCGGTTTGCAGCACATTCATACAAAACGATCCCAAATAAAACTAACTCAAGCTTCAAGGACAATACAGTCATACCTCTGGTTACAGACGCTTCAGGTTGCATTTTTTGGGTTACAGACTGCCGAAACCCGGAAATACCGGAACGGGTTACTTCTGGGTTTCGGCGGCTGCACTTTGCGCATGCACAGAGGCGCCGAATCGCAACCCGTGTGCGCGCAGACGCGACGCTGCAGGTTGCAAACGTGCATCCCGCACGGATCACGTTCGCAACCTGAGCGTCCACTGCATTTCAGTTCCTTCTCTAAGTGACGTTTTGCTTCCCCCAGTCGCCAAGCGGGCATACAGAAATCCCCGTGTGGCCGCAATAGGACCCGCGCCACTTGCATAACGCGCATGGCTGATTTCGAACACGGGGCTGGACAAGGCAGAGGCATGAATTCGTGCAAGTGATAGAGACGAGAGCGCACAGACCCACACGAAACTAGGGGCTAGTGTGGGGATGGGCACTGGTCTAACCTCAAAGAATGGGCTGCTCTGTGCCCTTCAGGATTCTGTGATGGTCAAATCAAGGAAGGCCGTCGACAAAAGGGACAGGAGGCATAATGTAAACCGCAAACCCCAACCGCTCCCACAAGCCCTTAGGGCAAAAAAGCTACTGGAACAGCTGCAGTTTCAACTTTTTCGTGTTTTTATTTCTTTTCTCTTTTTTTTGCGTGTTTTTTTTTTAATATTTTAAATCTTGTTCTCGAGATGGCTACAACACCAGACGGAACAGCACCCCCCCCCCCCCATTTCCTGCCTCAATGTCTGCGCGGGGCCCGCGACTCCCTCTCTCTCTCTGTGTCTCCCCCCACACCGGAGTCGCTGCCGGGATCGGTTTTAACGAAATAGCCTGCCCGCCCCCCTCTCGGTCCTCCAGAGCGCCCCCCCGCGAAGCCCCTTCCCACCCCTCCAAAGCGGTTTAAAAAAAAAAATCCCAAACAGATTTAAACCAAATTTTCCAAAAAACCCAAATCAACTTTTAAAAAAGAATATATATATATATATATAATATAATATATATTATAACTGTTTTATCAAAGTAAGCAAACACGTTGGTGGGGTGGGGGTCTAGGTTTTCCCTAACCCTTCTCTGTGTGGGCCCTCCTCTGCCAACCCCCCAAAGACCCTGGGATTCCACCCGATCTTTCCTTTGGGACTCGGGGGGGGGGGGAGAGACAGAGCTCTGGAAATCAGGAGGGTGGGGCTTTGCAAAACCACAACAACCACCTTGGACTAAGCCCCTTCGCCCCATTCCCCCATCCCCTGCAGGGCAGACTATTGGGTTTCTTAGATAGGTGTTTGGTTTTTGTTTCTTAATCCCGAATGGATCCTTAAGTAATCATTTTTATTTTCATTTCACAGAAAGTTTACTACTTTGTTTTGCATTTTTTCCATCTTTTTTTTTTTTTTTGCTTCCAGGCAAATTAGTTTTCTATTGTTTCATATTTCTGTTGTTGTTTTTAAAACATTTTATTACTATTTTCCTTTTCATGGTTTTTTTTCTCTTTTCCCCCCCTCTTTCTTTCTTTCCCTCTTTCTCTTTCTCTCTCTTTTTTAAAGCAAGTCCATCTGAAAAAGCAGGCTCCCCCTCCCCCCGCGACGCCGTAGGTCAGTTGCAGCCATCGATATTCGCGGATAAGTTGTGCCCCCCGGGATTTTATGGTTTTTTTTCGCGTTTTTATCTCTTTTTCTCTCTCTCTCTCTTTCTCGCACTCACAAGCAGGAACTTCACCGACTCGTTCTCGCGGCAAAGTGTCTCTTCCGGATTGGCGGGACACAGCAGAGTGAGTCAGAGCCCTCAGCCGCCATGAAGTTTGCTGGTTGTGGGACACTGTCTTGGTAGTTTTATTTCCTCTTCTGAAAATAAGACATTCCTGGGAAAGGGGGAAGGAGGAGGAGCCGTAAAAAAAGGCAGAGGAGAGGCAGTGTTAGAAACTCAGATATATAATCTGATCGCCAAATGGCAATTAAACCTAGGCTGCGGTTGCTAAAATATGTATGTTCAAGTTTCCCCCTCTGATGGGATTATTATTACAGTCATATCTCATGTTGCGTCCGCTTCAGGTTGTGTTTTTTCGGGTTGTGGACTGCCGAAACCCGGAAGTACTGAAATAGGTTACTTCCGGGTTTAGGCAGTCGTGCATGCGCAGAAGCACTGAATCGCAACCAGTGTGTGCACAGACGCGGGTTGTGAACCTGCATCCCACACAGATCACGTTCGCAACCCGAACGTCCACTGTATTACTATTACAGTTGTACCTCCGCTTACGTATCCTTCTGGATACGTAAACTTCCGGATGCGAATGCGGCAAACCCGGAAGTAGTTTTCTGGGTTTCGCCGTGCACGCATGTGCGGAAGCGCTCTACGTGCATGCGCAGAAGTGCTAAACCGCGCCGTGCGCATGCGCATAAGCGGTCCTCCAGAACGGATCCTGTTTGCAACCGGAGGTACCACTGTATTATTAATTTCATTTCTATACCGCTTTATTTTCTTACGAACAAATCTCTAAAGCAGTTTACAACACATCCAAACATCAAACAAAACAATCCAGAATAAAACTAATCCCAGCTTCAAGGAAAATATTTCAGGTCCTTCTCTAAGCGACGTTTTGCTTTCCCCAGTTGCCAACCAGGCATTCAAAGATCGCCATGTGGTTGCTACTGGGTCCACGCCGGTCGGAAAACGCACCTGGCGCCTGGCTAGTTTCGTACACTGCGAGGGAGTCAGCATCTTTTCTGCATCAAGAATCTCATAGAAACGCTGGAAGGTGACTTGAGCTCAGTCATCAATCCCTGGTCCATCTAACAAACTCAGAATTATCTACACCAGGCGAACCAACCTCTCAAACCAAATGGGCTACAAAAGTCCTTTGGCACAGAACTTGTAGGCCACACACAATCCACCCCACTCCCTGCCACACAAACAGCCCCTTTGGGTTGGCCATTAACTGAGGGGGCATGGATCTGTTGGAAGGGGACCCCTGAGAGCCATCTAGACTGACCCCTAGCAATCCCTGGCAGGCGGCCACCCGCTGCCCAGCTGTCAAACATGCACAAAACAACAACAAACCTCTGGTTACGTGAAACATTCAATAAACACACAAGACGTTACCGGCTGTATGTTTGAAAAAATAAAATAATAGTATTCATTGTATGGAAAATGTCTATTCCACCTGTGTTCATAGAGTCCATACAAACGCATGTATGATATCACAGGACAGTGGATCTTATAGCATAGTAGTAGCTGCTGTAACTACTACTGTTTGTACTACTGATGAAGCCTAGGATGGCGAAACAAGGCTAATATTATGGAAATCCTTTCACAGAGTCTAAGGATTCTGTGGAACTGCAACAATCTTTCGTGTGGATTGTTGGACTCTATGAACAGACAGGTGGAATAGACACTTTCACATATATGGACCTTATGCATTAACTGATTAGAGAATGAACTGATCCACTGGGTCTTCTACTTTTTTCATTGAACTTTATGAGCTACTTCTGTTGAAATCTACAATTCAATACAACGAATAGTATATATTTTTTCAAACGTACAGCCGGTTACGTCTTGTGTGTTTACAGCTGTCAAACATGGCAGCCGGCAGCAGAGCCGCCACGCCCAGGGCAGCGCAACTGACCAGCGGGAGAAGGAAGGCACCATATTCAAGCCTCTCTCCACATGCACAGAAAATTGGGAGGAAAAGTTAGATTCTGCTCACCTGGGAGACAGGCAGAGTGAAGGAGGCACAGGCTACCGGAACAATCTGGTGAAGTCCCTCAAAGCCCAGCAAACCTGTTTGCACTCCTCGGCGCTGCGGGAGGAGAGAGGAAAAGAGGGAGGCGGCCGTTATTTGGGGAGGGGAAGAAGAAGCGCTCTGCGCATGGCCAGGAACCGTGCAGCCACACATTGCGGGGTGAGGTACCAACGGCCGCCAGTAGACCAGCTTTCCTGAGAGCGAGCAAACCACACAGAGACGGGGAGCAACAGAGACCCGGGACGGCACGTCTAAATCCCCGCGCAGCTACAAAACGAACAGGGCAGAAAACTGAGGACCAGGAACTTGAGTCAGAGGTTAGGGAACTGGGCGGAGGTCTGTATAAATAAGTGGTGATGAAGCTCAGGGTCAAATGTGTTGCGTGTGTGGAAATAGCCTCCTTAGCAGGCCAGATATTCCCAGAGGAAGCCTGGAATTCCAGTGCCCAAGATGGAACCCACCAAGCTCCCTCCTTTACTCGGACGCAGGAGAAAGGCTACCATGGGATCCCCAAGCACCAGGTCACCCTGCCCTCTGCCCACCAGGCTCTTGTTGAGCAAGCAAAGGTTCACAGCAGCCCTGCATAAATCGCCTGCCCCAGCTGGAGGAGACCCTGAATGCCGTGGGGTGGAAGGAAAGCCCCGCAGGCAGGCAGGCTGGGGTGGCACTTGGGTGCTGAGACGTTTGCCAAACTGCCTGGCAAGGCGTGGCACGGAGGAACAGGCCAGGGCTTGCTTCAGCACACACACACCCCCGGCGAAGGGGAAGGAGCCCTGGCAAAGCCGCAGGGCCTCGGAAGCAGATAGGGCTGGGCATGGGCCTGCCTGAGCCAGTCACCCTGCACTGGCAAAGGGTGCAGGACTGGGGCCAAGCAGCCTTGCGGTTTCCCCCTCCCAAAAGCCGCACAACCGGACTGGCAGGACCAGAAAAACCTGACTGGCAACCGGGAAGAGAGAGAGAGAGAAATCCCAGCCGAGGGACACACCGACCCAGCAATCTCCTGGCAAAGAAGGGTTTCCCTCCACAGTTGGCACAGAAAGAGGGGCAGCCAAGATGCTCCTAGCATGACAAGCTTTTTAAAAAAACCTTTTTAACAGGCATAACACACACACACACAAATTGAGATAGGGCACCCAGTGAAGCCCCCTGACTCTCACAATCGCCAATGAAATGAATGGCTCATGATCCACACAAGGATAATAGTTTCATAAAGCCAGTGAGCGAGTTGGAAGCCAGTGTCCGACCGGTTGATATCCCAAAAAGCTCAACAACTCTGATTGATCTCGCACCCTAAAACAAGCTCAACAACTTTGACTCACCCCCCTACCAAAAAAAGCTCAACAACTCTATTTCAACTAGGGCCAGGGCCTTTTCGGCTGTGGCCCCGATCTGGTGGAGCGCTCTGTCCCAAGAGACTAGGGCCCTGCGGGACTTGACATCTTTTCGCAGGGCCTGCAAGACAGAGCTGTTCCGCCTTGGCCTTTGGTTTGGACTCAGTCTGACCCTTATGTTTCCCTCCCCTTATGGATTTGATCTATGGGCAACTATTAAAATGAGGCTGTATTTTAAATTGTATTTTAACGCATATTTTAATAAACTGGTTTTTTTGTTTGTGTCCCCCCCCACTATCTTTTATTGTAATTTTATTGGTGTTAGCTGCCCTGAGCCCGGCTCTGACCAGGGAGGGCGGGGTATAAATAAATAAATAATTATCATTATTATTATCATCTGTATAGTTCAAGCTATGGTTTTCCCAGTAGTGATGTATGGAAATGAGAGCTGAACCATAAAGAAGGCTGATCGCCGAAGAATTGATGCTTTTGAATTCTGGTGCTGGAGGGGACTCTTGAGAGTCCCATGGACTGCAAGAAGATCAAACCTATCCAATCTGAAGGAAATCAGCCCTGAGTGCTCACTGGAAGGACAGATCCTGAAGCTGAGGCTCCAAGACTTTGGCCACCTCATGAGAAGAGAAGACTCCTGGAAAAGACCCTGGTGCTGGGAAAGATGGAGGGCACAAGGAGAAGGGGACGACGGAGGACGAGATGGTTGGACAGTGTTCTCGAAGCTACCAGCATGAGTCTGACCAAACTGCGGGAGGCAGTGGAAGACAGGAGTGCCTGGCGTGCTCTGGTCCAGGGGGTCACAAAGAGTCGGACACGACTCAACGACTAAACAACAACAATTATTGTTATTATTATTATTATTAATATTAATAGTGGGAGTAGATCGCAGTCTCTTGGAAGCTGGACACCCCTGATCTAGTCCAAGGAATCTTGTTGCGTCTGATCACACACACACACACACACACTTACCCCTGGTACCCCCGCCTGACCAATCGCCCCCCCAGCTCCCCCCGAACCCAGCCCTGAAGACCACACTGACCTCGTGACCTGCTTGTGGAAGTCTGTCAGCTGCTTGTGTGTCACCTGCACGGCTCCCCCCGATGTTTCCTTTGGTAAGCCCTTCAGCGAGTTCTCCAGCCAGCGGCAGAAGGTCTGTGGCAGCCACAGAGAGGAGAGTGGAGAGAAAGGAAAGGGGAAAGGAGTGACTCCCAAGACTCCGCAGCAACACACAAAGCCTCAGGGGTTAGAGCACCTGCTTGGAGCGCAGAAGGAGCCAAGCTCCATCCCCGAGTCCCCCGCCTGGAACCCCTGGAGAAATCCCTGCCGGCCAGCGAAGGCCAGTGGATCCCCAACCTTTTGGGGCCACCCCACACCCCTTGGTTCCGTAAACTCATCACCAGTGCCTCCCCAACTTACAAAAGGTAAAAGTAAAGGGACCCCTGACCATTAGGTCCCGTTGTGACCGACTCTGGGGATGCGGCGCTCATCTCGCTTTAGCCGGCGAACAGCTTCCGGGTCATGTGGCCAGCATGACTAAGCCGCTTCTGGCGAACCAGAGCAGCGCACGGAAACGCCGTTTACCTTCCCACCAGAGTGGTACCTATTTATCTACTTGCACTTTGACGTGCTTTTGAACTGCTAGGTTGGCAGGAGCAGGGACCGAGCAACGGGAGCTCACCCCGTCGCAGAGATTCGAACCGCCGACCTTCTGATCGGCAAGCCCTAGGCTCAGTGGTTTAACGCACAGCGCTGCCCGCACCCCTTGAGACTCCTTAAAGTAAAGGTAAAGGGACCCCTGACCATTAAGTCCAGTCGTGGCCGACTGTGGGGTTGCGGCGCTCATCTCGCTTTACTGGCCGAGGGAGCCGGCGTACAGCCTCCGTGTCATGTGGCCAGCAAGACTAAGCCACTTCCGACAAACCAGAGCAGCGCACGGAAACGCCGTTTACCTTCCCGCCGGAGTGGTACCTATTTATCTACTTGCACTTTTGACGTGCTTTCGAACTGCTAGGTTGGCAGGAGCAGGGACCGAGGAACGGGAGCTCACCCCGTCGCGGGGATTCAAACTGCCGACCTTCTAATCGGCAAGCTCTAGGCTCTGTGGTTTAACCCACAGCTCCACCCGCGCCCACCTTACAAAAAGCATGATGCAAAAGAGCAGTTTGCATGACCCGCCAAGGAAGAAGATATACAATTCAAGATGGTAAGGACTGGCTGCATGTTTGTTCAAAACCCAATTTCAATGCGGTTGATCCAACAAAACTGGACTTGGTCTAGCTTTCCAAAGTCCGGTTGTGTCAAGCTAGCGCCCAGAGGGAGGGCAGTGGCGGCTGTCCTGACAAAAGCAGGCTGGGCAAGTCCAGTGGTCTCCCCTCCCGGAAGGCCCAGTCCCAGCTTCCTCCTTACCGGCCTGTCGACCTGCATGATCTCCCACAGCACCTCAGCCACGTCCGGCAGGGTGTAAGGCGGCAGGCAGAAGCAGCTGGTGTGCAAGAGCTGGCTCACAAGCTGCTGTCCCAGCTGCGTCATCACCTGCGCAATCAGCTCCTTCCGCGCCTCAAAGTTCTCTTCGTGCTGCGGGGACAGAGAGAGAGAGGGGCGCACTTGCGGGGGGCCCTCGGAGCTGCAGGGAGCTTCCCACCCAAACCATGGGCCGCTCTTGTTGCAGGAATTTATGTATAGGTTGGGGGGGGGGTTGCCCCTCCAGCAGATATCATGCACATGCAGCCCACTACCAAAACCAGCACCATCACTTTTGTGACTTTTGTGATTTGTCCCCACAAAGCACTTCATCACAGTTTCTTCCTACCTATTCAAAGGGCCTTTGCTGCACGATACTAAATGTAAGAATTCACTGATAAATGTCTCTATGTACTGGCTCACTGGGGAAACTTCAGAAATTCCTATAGACATGTGAGCTCAGCTACTCAGCAGCCCCTCTGCCTGAAGGATAATCCCTGGCATCCTGATACCTGAGTGTCAGACAGGCAGCCATTCCAGAAACAACAAACCCAGATGAAGACAAAAGGGTGTGATGAACTTGGCTGGGAAACAGGGAAATGTAAATATCTTTTTTTGTTACACTTGATGGGTGTTTGCTGGAGGGCAAGGGAAACCATGGGGCAGGGTCCGGGAAGCTCAGATTACTGCCACCAGACCTCCCCTTTCATGATGTAACTGTGATGTATTAGTGATGTAGTTGGGGGGGGGTGTAACATGGGGATTAGCAGCTAATAAAAGTTTGGGTTCTCTTTTGTTCGGGGCTTCCATCTTGTTCCACCTGGTGGCAGGTGGGAGTCCTGTCGCGACAGTCTTCAAGCCTACTGGCTGCTGTTTTGCCCTGGTATTCCTGGCTGGTGTCCTCGTTTTTTGTCCAAGGGAGCCCTCAGATTTCTCCGTTAACGCGCTCGACACCCCGCTTCTGCTCCAGAGGGAGAGATCATCCTCATTCCCCCCCTTCTCTGGGGGGCAGGCAACTTTGGAGTCCCCCCATCCTACCCACAGTGTCAGGTGGCCTGCAAATCAGGTCTCTCCCTCCTTTCAAAGGACCCTGCTTTTCTCCTTGGGCTAAACTTTGCCCTTGCTCTGATTAACCCTCAGGTGGAGCTCCCCTCGATTTCTGCGATGTTCCATTGTTATAATGGAAAACTTAATAAAAATGATTTTTTTTAAAAAAAAAGCTGTGTGTCTTGGCACCCTGCGTTAACGCGGGACCCCTGGCACCCGCCACTCACGTCGTTGGACACTCCCGTGTGGACGAGGTCACGCAAGAACTTCATGACGCTGCAGTTGGCATCGCGGTGGTCCAGGGTGGTGGCAGCGATGGCCCACTGCAAGATGGGGAGGATGACCTGGCTGCGCAGGAGGGTGATGGGGCTGCGCTGGATGAACCTGCGAGGGAGAGGCAGCATTGGAAGGTTAGGACCCCATAGCTCCCGGCGGCCGGTGAGAGAAAAGAAACCCCTCCTTCGTGTCAATGCCTGATAACAGCTCTTCAGATCTGGGTCCTAGATACCCCCAACCCCATTCCTGATTAGGGTCCCTTCCTGTCCCGAGGGCAGTGGAGCCGCAACGATAGCGGCCCCCCGTTTCTTCCAACCTGCTTCCTCCAAGGTTCAGGAATACTGACCTTTACGAGAGACACTGCCAGGCATTTGTGCTCCAGCGGGCCTCTCAGGGGGGATACGAGACTGTCCCTGCTGGGATTTGGAGCAAACCAGACCGAAAAAACCTGCTTTGGATGGGAGGTTCCAAGGCTAGCCTGGAAAGCAAGGCAGCCAGGAGCCAAGCGCAGGGTAGGGGGTACCTGGTGGCCAGCCGGAAGAGGTCGTCCACAGTGTCCGGGTGGTTCTGGAGGCCGTTGGGTTGCTCGATGAGCCTGAATGTGGGCACGCACAGAGCCTGGAAGGGCAGAAGGAAGCCTTTAGCAGTTAGGTAAAAGTAAAGGGACCCTTACCATTAGGTCCAGTTGCAGACGACTCTGGGGTGTACAGACCTGGGCGGGAACTAGCTTATTGCATAAAAGTAAGGTAAAGGTAAGGGACGTGGGTGGTGCTGTGGGTTAAACGACAGAGCCTAGGACTTGCTGATCAGAAGGTCGGCAGTTCGAATCCCTGCAACAGGGTGAGCTCCCGTTGCTTGGACCTTGCTGGTCAGGGGTCCCTTTACCTTTACATTTAAGGTAAAGGTAAAGGGACCCCTGAGCATTAGGTCCAGTCATGGCCGACTCTGGGGTTGCGGCGCTCATCTCGCTTTACTGGCCGAGGGAGCCCGCGTACAGCTTCCGGGTCATGTGGCCAGCATGACTAAGCCGCTTCTGGCGAACCAGAGCAGCGCACGGAAACGCTGTTTACCTTCCCGCCGGAGCGGTACCTATTTATCTACTTGCACTGGTGTGCTTTGGAACTGCTAGGTTGGCAGGAGCTGGGACCGAGCAGCGGGAGCTCACCCGTTGCGGGGATTCAAACCGCCAACCTTCTGATCGGCAAGGCCTAGGCTCTGTGGTTTAACCCACAGCGCCACCCACGTCCCTCTAAATGCATGCCCCCTGTAATACAAATATATGGGGCTGGCAGCCACGTTTGGAACAACGGGCGCAGTTTCTGCCAACCTTTTTCAGAAAGGGCATCCAAGGCTGCAAAGGACTAAAACATTCTTGGAGGTCCCTGCCAACGCTGCAATGCAATGTTGGAATTATTATTATTATTATATTATGCTAGTAGCTTTGCAAGTAGTTTTGTAAGGTGAATTATCTGAAATATTGCCAAAAAAAAAAAAGACAATGTGGTGAATTATTAGTTAAGGATAATTAAGGGTCATATGAAATTAAGAAATGCATAATAAGTGACAAAGGGAAAATCATCAGAAGCCTTGACAGAAGTCCAAAAATATTGTATAAGATGAGAAGCTATGTTGCATGAATGCTGGAATTAATATGTTAAAAAAATTAATAAAATGTATTAAAAAAGGAATTATTATTATTATTTGAATTTATATACCGCCCTATACCCGGGGGGTCTCAGGGCGGTTCACAGAATAAAATCAAGATACAAAACCACAAAATACCTAATAAAAACAAAACCAACCCAATAGCCAGCAACCCCCGAAAAACACATGGGCGTAGGATGTAAATGGGATGAACCCAAGGCCTGGTTAAAAAGGAACGTTTTTGCCTGGCGCCCAAAGGTGTATAATGAAGGCGCCAGGCGAACTTCCCGGGGGAGAGCATTCCAGAGACAGGAAGCCACTGCAGAGAAGGCCCCGTTCTCGTGTTGCCATCCTTGCATTCCTTCCCCAAAGGTTACGTTCAAAGGGAATCTGGAGGCAACACCTCTGAGCATGGGCAGAGCTCGTCGTCAGGACAAGTGCGGCTGTTTCGCAGCACGAGTTCGGACCAAGACCAGGAAAGGGCCTCCCCAGGCCGGGACGAGCCCCAGCCAAGCCGCGAGGAAGCCCTGGGGGCCAACCTACCTGCAGCATATCAAGCAGCCCCTGGCGACAGCCCTCCTCCATTCCGTACTCATCCACAAGTATGCTGCCCAGGTAGAGGAAACAGGAGTGCTGGTGCTCCTGGTAGACACTCACCATCTGGCGGAGGGGCAGGGGGGAGAGAGAGAAGCAGAGGTCAGTGAATGGGGAGGATGCTTGAGCCAAAGCAGCAGCCCAGCGGACCGGGCGGAGCTGCTTTCTATCTACACTTCGACAGAAGGTTCCAAGGCAAGAGACAGCGGTAAGAAAACAGGTGGCATTTTAAACAGTTTAAACCAGGGGTCCCCATACTAAGGCCCGTGGGCCGGATAAGGCCCAAAGGACTCGTTTATCCGGCCCGCGGCAACCCCCGCCGCCTGCTTTTACCGGCGCTGCGCGGCTGCCCACTTCCGGGCCGGAAGAGCACCGGAAATAGCTTGTGCACATGCGCAAGCGTTATGTGCGCGTGCGCAAGCGTTATTTGCGCAAGCGCAAGCGTTATTTCCAGTGCACATCCGGGTCGGAGGAGGCCCATGCACATGCGCACAAGCTATTTCCGGTGCTCCTCCGGCCCGGAGGTGCGCCAGAAGTAGCATGTGTGCACACGTATGGGCATGTGCCCGCAGGGCCATCAGTGCTGGAGACACCGGCCCGAGGAGCGGTAAGTTTGCTGACCCCTGGTTTAAACCATACACAAGGAGAACACCAGGGTGGGTTCAAAAACATCTATCCAAGGTGCCCAAAGGGACTGAGAAGAAGAGGCGCATATTCAGCCGGTGCTGATCTGCATTGGCTCCCAGTATGTTTCTGAGCACAATTCAAAGTGTTGGTGCTGACCTTTAAAGCCCTAAACGGGCTTTCAGTATACCTAAAGGAGCGTCTCCACCCCCATTGTTCTGCCCGGACACTGAGGTCCAGCTCCGAGAGCCTTCTGGCGGTTCCCTCACTGCGAGAAGCCAAGTTACAGGGAACCAGGCAGAGGGCCTTCTCGGTGGTGGCACCCGCCCTGTGGAACGCCCTCCCAGCAGATGTCAAAGAGATAAACCACTACCTGACATTTAGAAGACATCTGAAGGCAGCCCTGTTCAGGGAAGCTTTTAATGTGTGCTATTTTAATGTATTTTTAATCTTTGTTGAAGCTGCCTTCAGTGGTTGGGGAAACCCAGCCAGATGGGCGGGGTAGAAATAATAATAATAATAATAATTTCCCTGCTATGAGTGTGCTGGGGACTCTCAGTTGATAAGAGCATGAGATTCTTAATCAGAGTGTCGTAGATTCCTGCACTGCATGGTCACTTCCAATCCTACGATTCTCCTTCCTTGGATGTTTTTGGCCAACTGGCCGGGTTTTACCCTTTAAAGCCCTATATGGCCTAGGACCCTCGTACCTACGGGACCGCCTCTCCTGGTATGTCCCATGGAAGATCTTACGGTCTTCAAACAAAATCACCTTGGAGGTCCCGGGCCACAGGGAGGTTAGGCTGGCCTCAACCAGAGCCAGGGCTTTTTCGGCCGTGGCCCCGATCTGGTGGAACGCTCTGTCCCAAGAGACTAGGGCCCTGCAGGACTTGACATCTTTCCGCAGGGCCTGCAAGACAGAGCTGTTCCACCAGGTCTTTGGTCAAGTCACAGTCTGACCCCCTCCTTTGGCAGTCCTCCTAGAACTCTAGCCCAATGGTTGCCATTAATTTGATTCTGAATTGATTTTAGAATGAATTGATTTTAGAACGCTCTGTTACATTTATTGTTGTTAGCTGCTCTGAGCCCGGCTTTGCCCTGGGGAGGGCGGGATAGAAATAAAATAAAATTATTATTATTCCTTTAGGGATTCCTGCAAGGCAGCGGGTTGGTCTTCATGGCCCCCTGGGGTCCCTTTCCCATGCCATTGTTCTACGGGCGTTTACCTGGGTGACCAGAGGCTGCAGGAGGGCCGCCGAGCCTTTCCCCACGCAGCGGACAGCGAAGCGCAGGCACCGGCAGCAGCGCTCCACGATGCGGTTATCGGCACGATGTTTGTTCAGGGTCTCTGACAGGACTGGCCAGATCTGGGCGGAGGAAGGAGAGCGGTTACGGAGGATTTCCTTTACGTCGGACGGGGGTGGCTCGCCTGGCCTCCTCTCCCTGGAAACCTAATCCCACCGGCAGCAGCCGGAGCGGCACATTCCACAAGGTCAGCACTAGCAGGGGGAAAGGGGGCAGGCCCCAGTCTGGAAAAGTATTCAGGCCGCGGGGCTTTGCTTATCTGGCCATCTGCGGAAAGACCAGGAGCGTGAAAGCCCGACTGGGGGGATGGTGTGGGGCCAGGGCAGTGGGCCAAGGCCCCAGTGCTGCAAAGGGTGGGCCGCGGGGTCAAACGCGCGCACAGAGCGCCGGGGCAGCGCGATGGCAAAAGTCTGGGGCTGGGAATCCGTTCAGTCCCCAGTTTAAATATCACCATCGATTCATTAGGTAAAGCCTTGTTTCCATGCCCCACCATCTGGGGAGAAAACTGACCTCCCCCTTTCAGGGGTTGTTGTAAGGATTACAGAGGCAATGTACGTGAAGCATTAGGACTACAGAGGTAATGTACGTGAAGCGTAAGGATTACAGAGATAACGTATGTGAATCCTGAAGAACATGATAAAAATATACATGACATTATTATTACATACAGCCAGCCACCCCTTACCATGGGGGGCACCGCAGAACAGGGGAAATGAGTAAGTAAAGCCCTCGGCTACCTCCCAACCCCACCCCTTGGCGTTGCTCCATCCAGGGTGAGGAGGAGACAAGGTCAACTGGAATCCAAGCTCCACCTGTGCAATCACGGCTAAAGTGTGCCACAGAGGGCAAGCCCACATGGGTGACCCGGGCAAGTAAGCCAAGCCGCTTCACCAGTCGCCCTCTGGAGTGAGCAGGGGGGGCTTCTCCACCTACCTCCTGGATGACTTCTCCACCTACCTCCTGGATGACTTTTTGGCACGGGTGGGTCTGTCCATTTTCTACAATAGGATTGGTATGCCTGCGGGGAAAGAGACGGAGGGATGGAAGGGAATTCGTGGGCGAGCTGGGCTGGAGAGGCAGGTACCAGCTTCTCCTCCACTGGCAATGCTTAACGGGACAACTGCCCCCGGGAAGGAGGACTGCAAAGACACAGTCCCCGCCTTCCCAAAAAAGCAAACCAGCAGAGATCTGAGAGACGTGTGGCTGACAGGTTGGCCCATCCTGAAACCTCAAGAGGTGGGGAAAGGGCCCCTTGCAGATCTAACCGCACCCCCAAAAGGCAAGACCTTAGGATGGAGTTGGACAGAATCAGCTGCCAGGAACCAAGTGCAGGGGAAGGAAAACACAACAATACTTGGATATGTGGAGAGCAGGAAGACCAACCACCTTTGGACAAAGGCTGAGAACAGATTGCTGCTTCCCAAATCATGCTAACTGCAACAGATTTAGAGTCAGAGAAGCAAAAACAGAGCTGCAGAGTTGGGAGACAAGGCTGGATGAGGAGAGGCCCCTGTTTAGCCAGCAGCACAGCAGAAGGAGAGAACGGGCATTTTACACACCCGGCAAACTTCTCTCTGCTTTCCTAATAGTGCCCTTTCAGCTGCTATGGCTTCTGCCAAACGATCCCAGGGACTGACATTTGGCAAACCCAGAATTCTCCCAGAGATCCCTATATGGGCCCCTCTATTGCTCCCCATCCCAGTCCGGAAATAAACAGGTTCATGGGAGGAAAGGTAAAGGTAAAGGTACCCCTGACAGTTAAGTCCAGTCACGGATGACTCTGGGGTTGCGCGCTTATCTCCCTCTATAAGCTGAGGGAGCCGGCGTTTGTCCGCAGACAGCTTCTGGGTCATGTGGCCAGCAGGACTAAGCCGCTTCTGGCAAACCAGAGCAGCGCACGGAAACGCTGTTTACCTTCCCGCCAGAGGGGTACCTATTGATCTACTTGCACTTTGACGTGCTTTCGAACTGCTAGGTGGGCAGGAGCTGGGACTGAACAATGGGAGCTCACCCCGTCGTGGGGAATCAAACCGCTGACCTTACAATCGGCAAGCCCTAGGCTCTGTGGTTTTAGACTACAGCTCCACCCACGTCCCTTTCACGGGGGAAAGGGAGCGGCTATTAAACTAGCTGAAGCTCTGTTGTGCGGCTCTTCCCAAAGGAGCCTGGACAGAAGGATAAGAGAGGAGGGAAGTTGTGGGGGGAGAAGGAGGGAGGAGGCAAGCAGAGAGCAGAAGACCGAAGTGGGAGGCGGAGGAGCGTTATCTGGGACTCTCCCCCCACTACCACAAATTCACTTCGCGACCACAGAATTTCAGCTCCGTTGGTGCAGGAGTCGAGCGAGTGTCCGGGAGAGGAAGATGCACCCGCTATTTTGGATGAGCAGCCTGATGGTTATTGTCGCCCCCCAACCCCATGGGTACAGGGAAAGACCCCAGTCCCCAAAAGCTTCTTACCTAAATATAACAGCAAGGCGATCTAGGGGCACAGTGGGGTCTGAGGAGAGGCCATTGCTCGGCTCCTGAGAGAGCAGCTGGGGAAAAGAGAAGACACACAAGACGGCTCAGGGAGGGACGCGGGACTCCCCTTCCTCAAGGAGGGTGGCCAAGAAAATGTTGCCTTGTTGCCGGCACTTGGGGAGGGGGTCTCCATGTTCAAGCCGCAGGTTGGGAAGACCACTGGTGGGCACCAAGAGTGCCAGCAGCAGCTCCTGAGCAAACCCCTCGCCCCGATTGTGTGGCTGATAATTTGAGGCTCGACTCAGGGGTGGCTGGGAGTGACACGCTTTATTAAATGGGGCTGGCATTTCCAGAGGCAACCCAAGACGACCACCACTTCTATGGCTTAATTTGTCACCCAAACGTCATCAGCAGATCCAGCTTAATATTCAGTTATTAAAAACCGTTGGAAAAAAGCGAACTATAGTCAAAAGGACAGACAGGAGGTCCTGAAAACAAGGTATCTCAGGTGCCAGGGTCAATGGACAGAGGTGCGTCTTCGGAGAATGTCAGAAGCTGAACCATGAAGGCACCAGGAACACCTCTGTGGGGATTTCCACATCTTATGGGGCTGCTACAGAGAAGGCCGCCTCCTAGGCCGCATCGACCCCCAACTACCCAGAGGACCCCCTTTGCTAATCCTAACACCCAAGAGGGTGTGTAAGGAAAGAGATGGTCGTTTGGGACAAGGCTTATCCCCTTTGAGCAAAACAAGCAAAATGTGCGTTTTTAAAAAGCGTTTGCCTTTCTTCCAAACAACAAGGGCTTGCTTCCAAGTCCTCCTTTACCAGTTTTTGTCCCAAAGCTCAAAAGCCCTCCCTCCCTCCAGGTAAAGCGGCCACGCTCAGCCGGCCCTCAGGCCTCGTACCTTTTTCAGAGCCATCACCTGAACGGCACAAAGTTCACTGAGACACGCAGAGATCTTCTCCAGCGGGAGCCTAGCCAGCACCAAGGCAGTCCCTGAAGAAGAAGGGGAGAGGCAGCCACTTCATAAATGAAACCAGCCCAGGGACCAAACCCAGCCTCAAACGGCCAGACTGATAGCAGCCCTCTGGGGTCTCCCATTTCCCCCTGAGAACCAGTGTGACGTAGTGACAAATGGGGAGGACTAGGATGGGGAGGGGAGACCAAAGTTCAAACCCAGGACTAGGAGTGGGGAGAATGGTTTCCTGATTCCGGAAGGCCTGTAGCTGAGGGGTAGAGAATCCACCTTGAATGCTGAAAAGTCCCAGATTTACCATATTTTTCGCTTCATAGGACGCACTTTTTCCCTCTTAAAAACTAAGGGGGAAAGTCTGTGCGTCCTATGGGGCGAATGCAGGGGGGGCAGGCAGGAAAAGCCCCCAAGAGCCGCACACAAGCTTCGCTCTTGCGGGCTTTTCCCCAGGAGGGAGAAGGGACTGACGCGGTCAGTCAGTCCCTTGTCCCTCCTCGTAGAAAAGCCCGCAGGAGCCGTGCGCTCCTTAAAGGGTGCGCGGCTCCTGTGGGCTTTTGCGGGAGGTGGGGGAATTAACATAGCCGCGCGCAGCCTCTCCAGCCGGGAGAGGCTGCGCAAGGCTAAAGAAGCCAAGGCAGCGAGCGCGATCCATCCCGCTCGCTGCCTTGGCTTCCTCTTTAGCCTTGTGCAGCCTCTCCAGCCGGGAAATATTATTTTTATTCTTGATTTCCCCCTCTAAAAACTAGGTGCGTCTTGTGGTCCGGTGCGCCCTATAGAGCGAAAAATACGGTAATCTCCGGCAGCATCTCCAGGTCGGAATGGGAGAGACCTTGGCCGGAAACCCTGGAGAGCAGCTGCCAGCCAGTGTGGACAACACTGAGGTGTACTCTGCACTTAGCTAAACACTGCCGCCGCACTCTGCTTGTAGAAGACAAGCATGTCAGCGAGGAGGCTACGCTGTGCCAGTATTCCTGGCATGCTAGCTTTCCAGAGGCAAGGGGTCTTCAAAATATGCTGTGCTGTTGCAGGAGGACACCGAAGACGTGGTCCAGGGAAGCCCCCTCTCCTCCCCTGTGGGGCTGCCCCCCCTGCTGCTGCTATCGCAGAAGGAGAACGTACCTTTCAGGAGCCCCACAGCTGCTTCGGGCGAGAGCATGAAGGAGTCCAGGGAGCGGGCGATTTCCAGCAAGCCGCTGAAGTGCTGGGCCATGTGGTCCCGGCACACAGAGCAGATGTTGTGAATGGCTTTGGCCGCCACCGAAGCCAAGGACTTCTCACAGAGGCCTTTCATCAGGTAGCCAAGCACAGGATCTGTTGCGGGGAGAGAGGGCAGCAGAGGGAGAATGAACATATTTCTTCTATTATTAGTATTATTTCCACCCTACATCCGAAGATCACAGGGCAGTTCACAACATTGCAGGGCCTGCAAGACAGAGCTGTTCCACCTGGCCTTTGGTTTGGACTCAGTCTGACCCTTACATTTCCCTCCCCTTATGGTTTTGATTTATAGGCTGCTTTTAAAATTAGGCTGCATTTTAAATTGCATTTTAACCTGTATTTTAAATTGGGGTTTTTTCCCTATTATGTTTTTACTGTAATTTTACTGGTGTTAGCCGCTCTGGCCAGGGAGGGCAGGGAATAAATAAAATTTATTATTATTATTACTATTATTATTAAAATACAAAATGAGAACGCAAAATGCATAATAAAACAAAAACAAACTGATAACACTCCCACTGCCCAACATACCAACTGTGTCCAGGGCAGCTGTTTACCAGCTCCATCTGGTACGTAGGCTGAGACCCTATCTGCCTGCGGACTGTCTCGCCAGAGTGGTGCATGCTCTGGTTATCTCCCGCTTGGACTACTGCAATGCGCTCTACGTGGGGCTACCTTTGAAGGTGACCCAGAAACAACAACTAGCATATTTTTCGCTCTATAAGATGCACTTCCCCCTCCTAAAAAGTAAGGGGAAATGTGTGTGCGTCTTATGGAGCGAATGCAGGCGGGAGGCTCTGCTCAGCACTCCCTTTAAAGAGCCGCGATGGAGCGTGTGTAGCGGCTTTAGGGGCTTTTCCAAGGAGGAGACGGCTGCCTTCTCCTCTTGGGGAAAAGCTCCAAAGGGAACTCCGCACACACGCTCCGCGCGCTCTTTAAAGGGAGCGCGGCTCTTGGGGGAGCCTTAGCTGTGCACAGCCTCTCCCGGGCAGGGGGTGAAGGCTCCCCTTGCCCAGGAGAGGTTGCACGCGGCTAAGCAAGAAGCCAGGACAGCCAGCGGGATTGGGAGAGGCTGCGTGCGGCTATCCCATAAGCCAGGACAGCAAGTGGGATCGCTGCGCAGCAATCCCGCTTGCTGTCCTGGCTTCTGGGATTCAGAATTATTTTTCTCTTGTTTTCCTCTTCCAAAAACTAGGTGCGTCTTATAGAGCGAAAAATACGGTAGTCCAGAATGCGGCAGCTAGACTGGTGACTGGGAGCGGCCGCCGAGACCATATAACACCGGTCCTGAAATACCTACATTGGCTCCCGGTACGTTTCCGAGTACTATTCAAAATGTCTCTATCCCCATCGTCCAGTCCTGATGCTGAGGCCCAGCTCTGAGGGCCTTCTGGCGGCTCCCTCGCACTCACCAAGGAAATGGGGGTTCCTGTCCACAACTTCGCTCATTTCGCCCACCAGCTCGATGCTAGTGTAGCGGACGGCCGTGTGCACCGATTCAGGCAGGCGTACCACCCCTTCCAGCACCTCCACCAGCGTTGGGTTGTTCTCCCTGCGGGCAGGAAAAGGCAATTACGCCACAGCAACAACAAAAACAAAGCTCTGCAAGCAGCTAGTCCATAACGGGGCCTGAGCAGAGACCCTCGCAAAGAGGGCAGAAAGTGCCAGCAAAAAGAAAGGTTTCACGTCTCTAGTCCTCGCCGCGGAGAGTGCAGTGAATTGGTTTGTGCCAACCTGAACTTTTTCTACCCACTTCCACTTTAAAGAAGAATGGGAACTTTTTACAAACTATTTAAAAAGACAACGAAATGAACTTGACTCCTGGGCAGGTTTTGAATACAGTGGTACCTCTGGATGCGAACGGGATTCGTTCCGGAGTCCCGTTCGCATCCAGAAGCGAACGCAGCCGGCGTTTGCGTGGGTCGCGATTCGCCGCTTCTACGCATGCGCGTGACATCATTTTGACCATCTGCGCATGCGTGAGCGGCGAAGCCCGGAAGTAACACGCTCCGTTACTTCCGGGTCGCCGCAGCACACAACCCAAAAATACTTATCCCGAAGCTACTTCAACCCGAGGTATGACTGTAAACATACACAGATTTTTTGAGGGTTAATATAGTGGATAGATAATATAAGGATGTATACAATTTTACAATAGGCAGAGAACAATATGAATTGAGAAATCAGAGAGAGGAGCTTCTGGGGGAAGTCTTGGGGAGGGGGGAAATAATGAAGATGATTTGTTTTGATAATTTGTTATGTTGATATTGTTAATAAAAATGTTTTTTTAAAAAACCCTGAACTTTTTCTATGGTTTATTACAGTAGATCAAGGCATGAGTTTGACCCAAAGGCCACTGGCTGGTGACTAGGATACACACACAAATGCAAAAATGAATTCATGGTCTGTGGCCCACCCCCTCTGGGACGGTGCTGGCAGTACTCACTGGTCAACGCTCTTGGCTATCGAGGCCATGATGAAGAGCACAGCTTCCGTTACTTCCCACGGAGGATTGCCCTCTTTCAGGGTAGCATACAGCTGCGAAGAAGAAAAAAATACAAGAATTAAGTATTCAGGGACATGAGCTTTTTCGTGGATGCACTTTAACCATAAAGTCACTGTTAGGATGGACTTTCCGGCCAGTTCGAAAGAGGAGCAGATCGAGGGTTTTGGACCTCAAGGGCAGCAAAGAATTCATGCAGTCAAAGTGGATGTGTGACTGCAGAAAACAGAAGGGTAAATGGCTTTTAAGAGGGCCCCAGGGACCAACATAAGGCATGCCAGTGAAAATGGGTTGTACTTTGTAAAAAAAATTATTTAGCAAGATGTATATGCTGCTCATATACGAAATAATTGGTTCCCAAACCTTTTATCTCATGGATCACTTGGGAATCTCTAACTGTCTTGGCAAACCACTTAATAATTTTTCTGCCACTGTAGCAATTGTAATGTGCTGTGTTGTGTGGTTTTGTATTTTTACACACACCATGAACCCCTGAACGAAGCTCAGAGACCACTGATGGTCTGCAGATCAGAGCTGGGGAACCCCTGCTCAAGGAAATTTACATAAAACACTATAAAGCAGTCACTGAAAATGGCAATAAAGGCAGACTTGAAAAAGAGCGGAAATCGTTAAAATTATGAAATAAATCACATTGGGTCGGAATCAACTACAGAGTTGTATTAGCTCAGCAAAAGGACTCCTGCCCCCTTCTTCCTCAAATCTGCTCTGGAGGACTGGGAGAACCCCACAGATCAGCAACCATAGAACGATCACCTTAGTGCTATATTGAATTCCACCCTTTAAAAATAAATAACAAGCTTTACAAAAGCAGGAATTAACGTGCGGACATGCACTGGGAAGCGAAGCCCTTTCAACTCCTCCACCCAAACCACCCTCAAAAGCCAGGAGACGCCAGCGGCATTTCGGACCACACCAGACCAACCTGTTCCCCTCTCACCTGGGCAAAACACTCCACAGAGCCAACCAGGAAGATCAAGTCTTTCACGAGGTCTGACACTCTCATCCGGAACTCTCCAAAGTCGTCCGTCTCCTCGGGGATTCCTTCCTAGCAGAGGAAAACAAAGGAGGGAAGAGGGAGGGAGGGAGGGAGGGAGCGTAAATAACTACCAGCATCTCCCCTCCTGTGGGTCAAGTACAAAGGAGGCGCAGGGGTGTTTGGGGGCCAGGAAGGAGAGGCGGACGTACGTGGTCCGGATCCAGCTGGCAGTGCCGAGCCAGGGCGTGAAGGAGCCTCTGGATGTAGGCCTTGAAGATGCTGTGGATGACAACGTCCTCCGTCTTGTACAGGTGCTCCCCCAGCCGGTACCAGAAGTTGAAGGAAATCTCCACCACCTGTCATGGGCAGGAGACCCATTTATTTATTATTTATTTTCTAGCATTTATTTTTTTAAAAAAAAACCTTTCCTTTAAATTTATCATCATCATACCCCCAGCCACTCTGGGCGGCTCAAAGCATATATAAAAACAAAGTAAAATATCAAACATTAAAAACTTCCAGATACAGAGCTGCCTTCAGATGTCTTCTAAAAGTTATGTAGTTCTTTATCTCCTTGACGTCTGAAGGTGCCATGACCGAGAAGGTCCTCTTGCCTGGTTCCCTGTAATGTCGCTTCTTGCAGGGAGGGAACCACCAGAAGGCCCTTGGAGCCGGACCTCATTTGTTTGTTTTAGTATGGGGTGAGCTCCCATTGTTCAGTCCCAGCTCCTGCCCACCTAGCAGTTTGAAAGCACGTCAAAGTGCAAGTAGATAAATAGGTACCGCTCCGTGCGCTGCTCTGGTTTGCCAGAAGCGGCTTAGTCATGCTGGCCACATGACCCGGAAGCTGTACGCCTGCTCCCTCGGCCAGTAAAGCGAGATGAGCGCCGCAACCCCAGAGTCGTCCGCGATTGGACCTAATGGTCAGGGGTCCCTTTACCTTTTCCATACCAATATCAGAAGACCCTTTTAAACTCCTCCTCCCTCTCTCTCTCTGTGCAATACAGCATTACCCAGCACCCTACCGTTGCCTGAATGGCCCGCCCTGCAGGTGCCTCCACCATGCCAACAACCCGGAAATTGAAGGGGCAGGAGGGGCAGCCTTCCTACCTCGTACTGCGGGTGACCCGCGCATATCAAGAGCAGTTCTATTGTCCGCAGGTCCCCCAGGCCTTGGCCTGGGGTGCACACAATCTTATCCAGAAAGGTCTCGCAGAGTTCCGTGAAGATCCGGCAGTAGTTGAGAACTCTGAAGGGAAAAGAAAAATGAGGGGTAAGCAGCGGTCCAAGTCAGCAAGTCGCAGCCTTGGCCATGGAAATGCCCATCTCAGGCAGGAAGGGCAACAGGACGACGTCATTCATTCCCCCCCCCATATTTACCACTGTCTCCTGCTCCCCCATCTGCGCTGGCTGCCACAGCCCCCCACCCGCCCAATGGGAAGAGGAACAAGCCCTGCAGGAGAGACCCCGGTCTGCATGCAAGCCTTTGGCAACTCCAATTTAGAGGAAAGGCGGGTAAGAGGTGCCACGTTAGAAGTTTATAAACTTAAGCATGGCACAGAGGAAGCGGATAGAGAAAAGGTTTTGTCCCTCTCTCCGAATTCAGGACAGATAAAAAGAAGTAGTTCTTCACATAGCGCAGAGTTACAGCTTGAGAGTGTTAAATATCTAGACAGACACTAGAATGATGTAGTTTTTAAAAAGCCAGAGTTAGAGATGGGAAGGCCGGGGGAGGGAATTGGGGGGGACTGGAAACCAAGTTTTTTTCTGTTTTTTTCCAAATGACCTTGGAAAAAAACCTGTTCCCCCCCCCCCAATTTTTCTGTTTTTTCCCATCTCTAGCCAGAGCATACATTTCTTAACAGGAATAATAATAATTTATAATAATCATTTATTATTTATACCCCACCCATCCGGCTGGGTTTCCCCAGCCACTCTGGGCGGCTTCCAGCAGAATATTAAAATACAATGATTCATCCAGTATTAAAAGCTTCCCTAAACAGGGCTGCCTTCAGATATCCTCTAAAAGTCCAATAGTTGTTTATTTCTTTGACTTCTGATGGGAGGGCGTTCCACAGAGCGGGCACCACCACCGAGAAGGCCCCCTGCCTGGTTCCCTGTAACTTTGCTGACAGTGCAAGGGCAGAGTGCCCTTACCAGGGTGGGAATTGTTGCTTGAAACTTTACTCAGGATCCTAGGAGACATACAGCTAGTTCCATATGCCCAGGGAGGGATTTGGGCTTGCGTTAATAAATAAGGATGATTGAAAGACTTTTTTTTAAAAAACCCTCATGAATTAGCTAAGGGCAATGTACAAATTAAAACCGCAGCCCACGTTTGAAAGAGAACTTTCAGAAGCAGGCAGTGGAGAGCAGGAGAGGACAGAGCAGGTGTACTGTTCAAAGTCCCAAATCCAAATGAGAACACTTCTTTGGGTTGCTAAAATCTCTGTGTGTGTGCGCATGCATGTTTAAAACACGATACAACTGAAAACTGGAAGCAGAAATCCAGCACAGATGTGCCTTCGATCTTTCCTCTCCTGAACCTGCCCGTGCACAGACCACTCTCCCCGGCAACTCACTTGTCCAAATCCTCGCGAGCCACAGCCATGTGGTAGGCTGCCTCAAGCGTCAGGACCCCCTGGAAGAGCTGCAGGGCCAGGGGCAGGTTGGTCTCCACGTTCTCAATGGCGTAGAGCGCGGAGCAGACGCAGTCGGAGGCCGCTTCGTGCAGGTTCGTCGACGTCTTGTCCTGTTGCTGAAAGGCACCGGGGAAGGGGAACTGGGCTTAATCCTCTGCTGCAGAGATCTCATCCAGACTGTGCCCACCACCCCACCCCAGCACACAGAGAGAGAAGGACGGGTTATGCACACTATCCTTCCACGAGGACTCCTGTGTAAACTCTGTGTAGCCTACGAACAGATATACGGAACGCAGAAATGACCCGAGACCACCTGCTCAAGCAGGGGTCCAAAAAGCAAGAATGCAAAAAGGGTAGAGGACAGTATGAGACGACAACCAAGGAACAAGTAAAGCGAGGCAAATGTGGTCCAGGATACACAGGGTGGAAGACGCAAGTCTTGGGGGGAGGAAGAAGAGGAGTTTGGATTTGATATCCCGCTTTATCACTACCCGAAGGAGTCTCAAAGCGGCTAACAATCTCCTTTCCCTTCCTCCCCACAACAAACACTCTGTGAGGTGAGTGGGGCTGAGAGACTTCAGAGAAGTGTGACTGGCCCACGGTCACCCAGCGGCTGCATGTGGAGGAGTGGAGACACGAACCCGGTTCACCAGATTACGAGTCCACCCCTCTTAACCACTACACCACACTGGGAAAGGGAAAGGCCTGACAGATCATAGGAAAGTGATGAAACTCTTTCAAAAACAGCCTTCAGCCAACCCGGGGCCTGTTTTGGACTGCAAAGTCGATAAGCCCCAGCCAGGACAGTTCTTTACTATAAAAGCACCCCCACCCCTTAAAGAAGATTCCCCCGGCCCCCACTTCTGCATCAAATGGGCAGAGACAGTGGGTTCCTGGAGGAGGAGGAGGAGGAGGAGGAGGAGGAGGAGGAGGAGGAGAGTGCTGCTTTTTCCAGCAGACGTGGTTTGACAGTAGGAGGCACTGCAAGCTCTTTTCTGCAGCGCAAATGCTCTGGTGGGCAGGCGGCCCCCACCTCCCAGTAGAGGGTGGGACTAGACAGCCTTTGGGTTCTTTCCAGTGCATTCCACTGCAGAGGGAGCCCCCTCTTGTTCTGTGAACACGCAGTAAGCTGCAGGCAGGCACAGAAACAGAGAAGGAGAGCACTATGCACACATCAGGACATTTCAGTCGCTGACTGTATCCTAGCGTAAGACTGGGCCACTCTCCCTTCAAGATCTGCCCAGATGAAGCCTTTGCAGCAACCAAGGCTGCACTTATGGCTTCCCCAATGCCACTGTCCCCTGACATGGTGCCAGGCTGCCCTCTGCGAGAGAGGAGGGACCCTGGAAAACTCACCAGAACCTCAAAGAGCAGCGACAGCAACTTGCTGTTGGCCATGAAGGTGCTGTCGAGGACGCCCAGGTTGAACCAGCTGCCCAGGCAGCGGAAGATCTTAATCAGCATCTTCTCGTCGTTGCCCGCCTTCTCCACGCAGGTCATCTGCAGGGAAGAAAGGGAAATTGGGAGAGGGGGCTAGGGAGACCTCGCAGTGGTGCCGATAGTGCTCAGCACATCCCCAACAATGCAATCTGTGCATGTGTGAGTGCCTGCAATCTGCAGCTCCCATGCAGGTGCCCTCCAGCTGTTTTGCAGTAGGGCAAGCTGTGCTGGCTGATGGCAGCTGCACGCCAAAAGGGGCCTTATGGTCTGTGCATGTGGTTTGGGAGCTGCACGGTTAGGGGAAAAACAATGCTGTCCAGGGTTGTAAAGACTGCAGAGAGAATAACTGGGTGCACTCTTCCCACCTTAGATCAAATCTATGCTTCCAGGTGCCATAAGAAAACTGCAGAGATAGCGCAGGATAGTACACCCCGGAAATGATCTCTTTCAGCTTCTGCCTTCTGGTAGAAGGTATAGAGTTATAAAGGCCAGGACTAGCCGCCTGAGAAACAGTTTCTACGCAAATGCAATTCTGGTTCTAAACGCAGCATAAGGGGCCTCTATAGTATAGTGTATTTTAAAATGGGGTTTCAGAGATTTTAGGGGGGGTTGAATGTTTTATGTAGTTTTTCAATTTCATTGTTCTGCATGGGACAATGACAATAAAGATATCATATATCATGCATCGTAGAAGGCTGCTCTTTGCCAGCGCTTGCCCCTCCCTGGGCAGCCTTCCGAGAAGGGGGGGTGGGTCTGAATTCTGTCTAACGTAACATCTCTCAAGGTTGCCAGCCCCTATTTCAGTGACGGCAGAGACAGAAAAGCAGCCAAGGTCTGAAGTGGGATTCACAGAGGGAACCAGGGAATGCAGGAAGGACCCAAACAGGAAGTACATTGTGCCAGGAGACAGTCGGTCAGTGGGCAAGTTATTCCAGCTCACCCCGAGTGACTCAAAAGTGGAGCCTCAGCAAAATCAGGCAGAGAGGCTGAGAGAGACCATGCTGGCCTCAGCAGCTTTGCCGTCTTAGTCAAACACTGAGCCTGGATCACGGCAGGGCGCCAAGGGAAGGGGGGGGGAATCCCCTCCATTTTAAACTGGGGGAGGGCTGCCCAGCAAAGTCCTGCCACATCCTGCCCTCATCCCGTTTGTCCTCAAAGCTCATCCTCTTTTTGAAAAAAGCTGCCACTATTTCAATGCGGGCTGAAAGCCGTCACCCCCTTAATCGATGAGCGGAATCAACCAAAACTTTAGACGAAGAATTAAGGCAAAAGAGGAAAGCTGCAACGCCCAAGTTAATTGACTGAGTAATGTTTAGTTAATTGACCTGGAGAGTGGCATCCAGGCTGTGATTCTCCAGGATACTCTTAGCACCAAAAAAATAAATGGGGGGGGGGGGCGGGTAAACTTGGCCAACGTGCTAGTTCTGGCTGGGAGATCAAAAAGCAATGGTCATGGCAGTTAGGGGTTGTAGAAAAAGTTACGGAGCGTAACAGACAACTTAAGAGGGGTTAAATCTAAAACGTGACTTTAAGTCACTTGGTCTCCGCTTCTTGAGTTTCTTTTGAGAAGACAGGGAGCAATCCTCCCCCAGATCTCCCCATTGTGGACAGACATCACAACCTGAACGGTTTTGGTTCTTAGTTTAAAACCTATAAATTATCTTCATATTGCTGCCTGTGTATTTCCTTCATGATTGTTTGGATTTTGTCCTTTTTCTGTGCATCCACGAGCACCACTGGAGCTAGGTTTGTAGCTATGTCTTACGTGCCTGTACTCTTCTTGTTCAGAGGTTTTTATGCACAGATTAGATACAGCCTAGGACCCTCGTACCTACGGGACCGACTCTCCCGGTATGGCCCATGGAGGACCTTAAGGTCCATAAATAGCAACACCCTGGAGGTCCTGGGCCCTAAGGAAGTCAGATTAGCCTCAACCAGAGCCAGGGCCTTTTCAGCACTGGTTCCAGCCTGGTGGAACACTCTGTCTCATGAGACCAGGGCCCTGCGGGATCTGATTTCTTTCCGCAGGGCCTGTAAGACAGAGTTGTTCTGCCTGGCCTTTGGCTTGGAATCAACTTGATCCCCTCCCCCTCTTTCCTTTTTCCTTCTGTGATGGAACTCCTATTTGGGGACTTCCCTGGCTTTTTTCTGGCCCACGTAGGACCAGTCTGGATAGTTGGCCTTGGTGAAGATTTGACGTTTTCATCCACAAAAAGCTTTGATTTGAGTTTCTACTGAAATGAGGCTGCATTTTAATGCTGTACTTAATCTTGTTTTTAAGTCGTATTTGAATCAATTGTTTTTATACCTAGTGTTAGCCGCCCTGAGCCCGGTCTTGGCTGGGTAGGGCGGGGTAAAAATATTATTATTATTATTAACCCGCCATGAATGCTTTAGTTGAGATTCCTGCATTGCAGGGGGCAGGACTAGATGATCCTTGGGGTGCCTTCCAACTCTACAATTCTATGTAATTTTTGCTAAGCTGTAAAATCTCCATAAATTGAAAAAGGAAAGCAATAGGTCCCCTCCCCATTACTTTGCAGGCAGCCTATGAGGTATCAGGCCCTAGACACAGACACACACCCTAGGAGCATGCAACTTTAAGTTCACAGTCGTCCAGGGAGGTAGACTAGGCTGAGAGGCCCCAAGTTGCCCACTGAACTCCAGGGCTACGTGAGGATTTGAACCCAGACCTTCCCACCTCCGTGCCGAGTCCACCCAACCGGCTCCCAGGCCCTCCCTCTTTCCTGGCTGCTTACCAGCAGAGAGACCACTGTGCTGGAGTAGTAAGCCAAGTCTTCGATGATCTCAGTGCGGCGGTTGGCTCCGATGCGCAGGGACCGGCTGTGGACCTCCTCCGGCAGCACGGTCAGGATCTCCAGTAGGAAGGGCAGCGAGGTCACGTCATTGTTGTACCTGGGGTTCCAGGGCGAGGGAGGGGGGGCGTTGGGGGAAGGGAAGAGAGGAGAAACGTGAGGTGGCAATGAAAGGGGACTGCTAGGGGTACCCCCCGCCAGCCCGCCAGCAATAGGGGCCCCCAAGTTCTTGACCCCGATCCCAGAGGGTGGCTGTCCTAGCTGGGCAAAAGATCCTGGGCGATTGCCTAAGAACTACTAATGCTATGCAGGTTTGGACTTGATCAGTCGCTCAGTTAAGCAATCCTGGAAGTCCCATGCAAGAGCAGGGCGAAGCATGATAAACATGTTTTCGTGCTTTAAAAACACACACACACACAAATTTGCACCCCTGCCTCCGTGGCAAATAACAGAGCTGCAATTGTCCAGGTTACTCCCCCCCCCTTTAATCTATCTGGCGTTATGGTTTTGTCTTCCAAGGAGATTGAGAATACTGCTTCTCAGCTCTGAAATAATTTGGACTCTTTATCGCAGCTTTAAAGGGACACGGGTGGCGCTGTGGGTTAAAACACAGAGCCTAGGACTTGCCGATCAGAAGGTCGGCGGTTTGAATCCCCACGACGGAGTGAGCTCCCGTTGCTCTCTCCCAGCTCCTGCCAACCTAGCAGTTTGAAAGCACGTCAAAGTGCAAGTAGATAAATAGGTACCGCTCCGGCGGGAAGGTAAACGGCGCTTCCATGCACTGCTCTGGTTCGCCAGAAGCGGCTTAGTCATGCTGGCCACATGACCCGGAAGCTGTACGGCGGCTCCCTCGGCCAATAAAGCGAGATGACCGCCACAACCCCAGTCGGTCACGACTGGACCTAATGGTCAGGGGTCCCTTTACCTTTACCTATCGCAGCTGTAACCTATATTCTCATTCGGTCAAGCCAGTTTCTGCATAGACAACAGGCTGGCTTAAGAATACAGTTTAAGAGTAAGTGAAGATGTTGAAAAGGAAGTCAGAAATACTGCTGCCTGTACAATGCTATATTTAGAGCCTGATTCATAGTGCCGGTTGAGGCCTTTAAAGCCCTACACAGTTTGGGTCCAGTCTGCCTACTAGCTGCCCTTGGTCCATCTAGTTCAGTGCTGTCTACATGGACAGGCAGAAATAAAGTAGCAATGTAACACATATTTCTGCCTCCTTCTGCTGCTGTCTGGGTACTCTGCGCTATAGGGAGCGTGCCTGAAGTCTCATTCAAAGGCTTAGGTCGTTAATCACAGTCAGAGGAGATTCCGAAGATACAGCCGGAGGAATAGCCATTTCAGCTCAGTCGTACGGACAAAAGGGACCTTAGCCCCTAGGAGTTGGCTCCTATACTGGTACCCTTAGCGAGTATGTGGGGCAGGACCTTGTCAGTGGCGGTCCCTAGCCCCCACCATTCAGATCATCATTTAGCCTCTGCCCTTCCCCACTTTGACAAAAATCACAAACACTGTTTAGTTTGAATACACCTTTGATGGGTGCTTGTTTGTGAGCAAAGGCTGGAGGTGCTGCTGTTCTTACTAAGCAAGCCGTCCCTAAATCGATTTTACTCTTCACCGTTTTCTGCTAAGTTTCAGGTTGTCAGTTGGAACGCAACCATGTGCATGAAAAAGCAAAGCACGATTAAACCAACAGGCAGTCCCCAGACCCACTAAACCTCTCCCACCTGTGACACGCAGCTCCCCACGTGGCTGGAAGCCGTTTCCGAAGGCCCAGAAGGGCAGCCCACGACCACCACCCCAAGAGAATCTGCTTTTACACAGAAGCACCTCATCTGGGTTTACCACTTCACACACCCGGGGCCATCTCATGTCATCAGCACTTTGTAAAACCATTACAAGGTACAGAAGGTTTAACTGGAGGTGGGAAGTGGGGAGAAGAGGGAGATTTGTAAAGGGAGCCACTTACTTTTCAACCAGTGTGTGCACACAGCCCTTCCAGGAGGCCATCTGTAGGGCGAGGTCTGCTATGGCTAACGCAAGCTGCAGGGGAAGAGAGGCGGTGGGAGAACACAAGTCAAAGGCAGGCGCTTCCAGCTAAAAGATGTAGCTCCCCTTTCCATCCCTTGGCCACAAGGCTCCAAAAATAACAGACTGGCAAATCAAATTACAGGAATTGGTGGAGACGGCTCAACTGACTAGGAAACTCAGAGGAAACTCAAAGCAAATATTTGTGGGAAAATGGGATGGTTATAGAAGATATGTTCAAAAATACAATAATAGTTTTGACTCCGTGCTAGCATTCGAGTGACAAAGGAAGTAAAAGGAGGTGGATAACAATTAAGGATTTATAATGTTTTCAGAATGTATCGGAAAATTTATATAGAAAGGTTTATTGTTTTGTGTACATTCGATTGCAAGATAAAATATATGCAAAGGGACTTGACAGGAAGTCCAAGTTGAAGAAAAGATTTTGTAAAATAAAAGGGGGGGAAATATTTACTTTCATTATTATCATTTTGTGTGGGTGGGTATGTGTCTGTACATATGTGTCTTTTTGTATGGAATGTTTGGGAGGAAATAAGACGGTAAATAACAAATTAAATATTGATGTATGTAATTTTTATTTCTTAATTATATTTAGTGGTATTATGGTTGTATTATTTTCTTGTAACATAAAATCATTCAATAAAAATTATATATATATAAAATGAAAGATGTAGCTCCCCACCGCAAGAAACGGTCCGCTGCAATTGTGCCTGGCTTTCAGTTAATGTAAGAGCTGCCTGCTGGATGAGTTCAGACCAAGGGGTCAATCGGGTCCAAGAACCCTGCTTGACACTAAACAGCCAGGAAGCCCCCAAAACAGACACGAAGGCTAAAGGCAGGTGCCCGCTGTTGTTCCCCAGTCACCAGACTGGCATTCGGAGGTAGACTGAGGAAGAGGCAGGCTACCTTTTGAGAGTCCACTGAGCTGCCAGGGCCAATAGGTAATAATAATAATAATAATAATAATAATAATAATTTTTTATTTATATCCCACCCTCCCCAGCCAAGGCCGGGCTCAGGGTGGCTAACAACAGTAAAGTAATACAGCATTCTAAAATCAGTTCAAAATCTAATTAATGGCAAACACTGGGCCAGAGTTCTGCGAGGATTACCAAAGGAGGGGGTCAGACTGTGCCTTGGGCCAAAGGCCTGGTGGAACAGCTCCGTCTTGCAGGCCCTGCGGAAAGATGTCAAGTCCCGCAGGGCCCTAGTCTCTTGTGACAGAGCGTTCCACCAAGTCGGGGCCACGGCCGAAAAGGCCCTGGCTCTGGTTGAGGCCAGCCTAACCTCCCTGTGGCCCAGGACCTCCAAGATGTTTTTGTTTGAAGACCGTAAGGTCCTCTGTGGGACATACCAGGAGGGGCGGTCCCGTAGGTACCTAGGCCGTAAAGGGCTTTAAAGGTTAAAAGAACATCAGATGGGTCTGCAGGTTCAGGCCAGCGTCCCATCTAGTCTAGACTCCTGTTCTCACAGTAGCTAACTAGATGCAAGCAGGACCTGTGCACAAGAGCCTTCTCCTCTCCTGTGGTTTCCAGCAACTGGTATTGTTCAACTGGTTTCAATGGGAGGCATACTACCTGGCAGTGGAGGCAGCGCACAAACCAACCCAGCCAGTAACCACCGATAAAAGATACCCCTCCATGAAGCCCCCTTTAAAAGCCATGCAAGCTGGTGGCTGCCTTCTGAAATGGCCACTCTCTCCCCACAAACGTGGGGTTCACTGCTCACCTGGGTGACGATGACAGGGGACATGTCTTTCAAGTTCTGGATGTGGGTGAGCAGCGAGTCCCGCAGCGAGACGTGGGAGTCCGTCGGGAGCTCGTAGAACGAGGTCTGGATCTTCATCTTCATGGTTTGAGCGGCAAAGTAGCACGATTCCACATCCTGCCGGATCTGCAGCAACTGATCCGAGATCTCCCAGGCGTGGACCTTGGGGCGAGACAAAGGGGGAATGGATGCCATCAGGGCAAAAAAGGCAGGTGTGGCGTTTGTGTGTTTATCAGCGGCTTCAAGCTCCAAAGAACCTGTTTCATAGATCAGTTGCAAAAGACAGCCAGCGAAGGAGTTCCCCGATCTCCCAAAAGACCCTAAAAACTTGTATGCTTTCAGTTATTATTATTATTCAGTTATTAGATTTTTAGTTTAGTTAGGTGTCCCAGATTTGGAAGTGAATGGAATGGGGAATGGGGAAGAGGGGGAAGTACTGGAGATGTAAAGATCTGACTTTGAAAAGCTGGATTGAGTCCATCCAGTTTACTGAATTAATTAAACAGTTTTAACAGCATTTTGAATAAACATGCAATTGATTGTTACTGTTTTCACTGTGTTATGAACTTCCTTAGTGGGCTGCGCCAACCACTATTCTGAACTATGCTTTTCATAGGTCAGGGTGTGCTGGGGATGAGTTTATGGAACCAGCCAAGGGAGCAGGGCCCCCAAAATGTTTGGGAAGGCCTGATCTACAGCAAGCTGTCAGATAGGGCGCAATTCAAAACTAGTAGCAAGTCTTGTTTGAGGCCACTAAAGGGAAAGCATCAAGTCTCCGGGGTCCGACCCGGAGCAACAGGCTACCAGGCCTCATGTACAAGCGCCTGCTCTGTGTCCACGACCCCCCCCCTTCCTGCTCCTTGAGCAGATGGATTTGGCTCCCACCTTTGGCATGCCTGGACTTGGCTGCCCCAGACGATACGGTAATCTTTATTGTCACTGTCCCATACAGAACAACAAAACTGAAAAAATCGACATCAGACATTCAAAAACCAACAAGCTTGCTATCCTAGCTATCCCAGCCTGGTTAGCCCCCTAAAAACTATTAAATACAATATACTCCCACAGAGACTACCTTACACTGCGTTTAAAACCAAAATCACATTTGGATAGATACTGTTTCTCAGGCGGCTAAGTCCTAGTCTTTATAACCCTGTACCTTCTTCCAGAAGGCAGAAGCTGAAAGAGATCATTTCCGGGGTGCGCACTATCCTGCGCTATCCCAGCAGCTTTCTTATGGCACCTGGAAGCATAGATTTGATCCAAGGTGGGAAGAATACCCAATTATTCTCTCCGCAGTCTTTACACCCCTGGACCTTGATCTCTCCTCCTCACCCTGGACGGCAGGGCTCTGGGGTTCCGGATCTTGGTGTGCAACCAACTCTGACCACCATAACCATCCAGCTCTGGCCCCTATTCTGCCAGGGACCCGTGCAGCTCTCATACACCGCGCTGCATGGACACAAACCTCGACAAAACTCTGCTTTTCTTCTCCTCCTAGGAATGCCCTACAACTCTTGTAAGACTATTGGTCATTTGTGGCACTGTGGGGACGGCTTTCTCCTCCCTACCTGGGATGGAGTGTAGAATGAGTTGCATTTCTCCCTTTATTTTATTTTTTTATTTTAATTTTATTGGAATTTTATTTACAATACGACACAACCGCCCCCAACCCCCCAATACACAAATCCACCCTCGTTAAACGTGAACATAACATGCTCAACAATACAAACAACCAAATAAAAGACTTCCTTTATCTTTTAAAGCAAAGAGGAAACAACCACGACACAGCCTTCACACCCACTCTCTTTTCCGGGGCAAGGTTGTTGCACCCAACTTGCTATCCTCCCAGTCCCAGGCAGGATGTTACACCACTGTCCTCAAGAAAAAGGGGAAGGAGTAGATGTAGAAAAATGAATAGATCCAACAGGCTGGCAAGCACGCACAAGCCCACACACACACTGGCTATACAACTGTAATTGACAGATCTGTTTTAATGGTACCATAGTTCAAGCTATGGTTTTCCCAGTAGTGATGTATGGAAGTGAGAGCTGGACCACAAAGAAGGCTGAAGAGAAGAGAGTTTTGGATTTGATATCCCGCCTTTCACTCCTCTTCAGGAATCTCAAAGCGGCCAACATTCTCCTTTCCCTTCCTCCCCCACAACAAACACTCTGTGAGGTGAGTGGGGCTGAGAGACTTCAAAGTAGTGTGACTGGCCCAAGGTCACCCAGCAGCTGCATGTGGAGGAGCGGAGACGCGAACCCGGTTCACCAGATTACGAGACTACCGCTCTTAACCACTACACCACACTGGCTGATCGCCGAAGAATTGATGCTTTTGAATTCTGGCGCTGGAGGAGACTCTTGAGAGTCGCATGGACTGCAAGAAGATCAAACCTCTCCATTCTGAAGGAAATCAGCCCTGAGCGCTCACTGGAAGGACAGATCCTGAAGCTGAGGCTCCAATCCTTTGGCCACCTCATGAGAAGAGAAGACTCCCTGGAAAAGACCCTGATGTTGGGAAAGATGGAGGGCACAAGGAGAAGGGGACCACAGAGGACGAGATGGTGGGACAGTGTTCTCGAAGCTACCAGCATGAGTTTGACCAAACTGCGGGAGGCAGTGGTAGACAGGAGTGCCTGGCGTGCTCTGGTCTAGGGGGTCATGAAGAGTCGGACACGACTAAATGACAACTGCAAAAAAGGGAGAGGGAATGAAAGCAGTCACTTCAGCCTGCAACAGGAATCGTATAAAGTTGCAAGAATCATTGAGGGGCACAGGAACTCAGGGGAAACCAATGGGTACTCCAGTTCCCATCAGCCACAGCCAGCAAGGCAAATGGTCACAGAATCAGAGTTGAAAGCAGGGTGGATTTGATTTAAATCAAATCGGTTTAAATCACGATTTAAATCACCAGTCAGTAAGATTTGATTTAAAACATGTTTTTAAAGAAAGACTCATTCTCGCTGGTATAATCTTAACATTTGCAACCAGATGAAGGTTTAGTTTTTGGAATAATAAATCTTCAGAGCAGTTTTTACAGATATAAAAAATTACTGATTTGGTTATACTGCTAGAAATACACAGACCGATAATTATGAAATTATTGTGAGGTTTAATAAGTTAACTGTTTTTATTTGGACAACTTTTCTGCTGTAGTTTATTGGAAGGAGAAAAACAAACATTTCCTTAATAACTATTTATTTAACTAAAACAATAACATTATAGCATACGTATCCAGGTTTGTTAACTAATGTGGTTAAACAATTTTTTAAAAAAATAGCACACATGAAAAACCTAAAACAAATCCTTATTTCCTGCCTTTGAACTATAATGTAACTTAAATAGAAAACTACCATTAGAAAGATTTTTTCTCCAAAAGCATATTATTTTAAAAATCTGATTTAAATTTTTAAAAAATCCGATTTAAATTTTTAAAATTTGATTATTATTTTTTTAATCATTGGTTTTTATCCACCCTGGTTGAAAGGGACCCGAGGGTCATCTAGTCCAACCCCTGCAATGCAGGATTGAACCTGCAACCTTGGCATTATCAGCGCCACGCTCTAAGCAACTGATGCGCTTTGCAGTCCAGCAGCGTCCAGAGGGCACCAAGTTAGTTACCCACCGACGGTCTTGTGAAAACGGTCTGTGAAAACGGTTCTCGGGAGGATCTGAAATGCCCAAACAGACAAAGAAAGGCAGCAGGAAAGAAATAACTGGCTTTTTTAAAAAAAAAAACATATTGCTGCTGCCTTGGGAAAGTTTGTAGGAATCACCACGGGAAGTTTAATTGCGGCAAACAAGCTATTTGGAGGATGGAGCTGAAATATTGATGAGTTTCCAGACAAGGAGACCTTGCACTAGAAACCCAATTCCCAAAGCGATTGTTAACTGTTTTATTTTTATTTTTTAAAATAATTTTTATTCATTTTCCAAACAAGTTTTATACAGTCAACAAATTATTTTACACTCATGCTTCAATTTTTGACTTCCCTCAGTTTCTCTGTCAATCTTTTGAAAAATTTCTATTTATTGATGCATTTCTAAACATGATATTGCCTTTCCCCACTCCTTTTCCTCTCTCTTTTTTGCAGTATTTCTTACTATTTCACAGAGTCTCTTCAAAACCAACAAGCGTCTGTACATCACATATATTTTTCAGATATTCTGTAAATTTCCCCCAGCCCTCGATAAACTTTTGGTCTTTCTGGTATCGAATCTTCCCAGTCAATTTGTCCAATTCTGCATATTTGGTCAATTTCCTTCTCCATTCTTCCACTGTTGAAATTTCTTCCTGTTTCCATCTTTGGGCCAGACTGTTAACTGTTTTAGGGGGGTAGATTGCATGTATGTACCACAATTCTATTTAGATTCCAGAAAGCAACCTGCTGCAGTCTTCAGCGTTTGCCTGAAAGACTGAGATTTGGGGTATCCCCATCAGTTGTGGGGATTGCTGCCCACCAGCTTCCTGGGGAGGCCACAAGACCGCTCAAAGCTGCCCCCAGGTCACAGTCTTGGTTGGGGAAGAAGATAATTTACTTCTCCTTTATGGGTTTGGAGATTTATAAACAGCCTTTCAGGGCACGCCACCACCTTTCCAAAGCAGTTGACAACCAGTTTTAAGCACATCCGAGGCGATTTCGATTTGAACGTTTCGAAACAGTAACGTGAACTAAAATGAATTAATCAAGGGCAAACCTGATTCAGACTACAACCAAACTTCAGAAAGACTATCAGCGTTAACGCTGTCATGTCTTATGGCAAGGAAAGAGTTCCAAGAGGAGAAATTGGACTTAAGGAAAGTTCGCTGCTTCTCAACTTTTGGGCCAAACAGGCAGTCGAGGAGAGGAAGGAAGAGAGGGGCCGTTATGAAAGCCCAAAATCACCACCCACAGGAAAGATTTTTCAAAAGATTTCATAAAAATGCCAGCAGATGCATCAACAAAGGTCATAACTTGCAAGATCCTGAGTATGTGAGCAGTGTTAGAAATTAGACAGGCACATTTGGTGTGGGTCCAGTTGCGACTATGTGGAGATCTGTGGGCGCCAGGTTGACAACTGACCTCTCCATCTGGCTTTCTTACGCAGGTAAGCAGAAGAGCTTATTCGTTGCACTTCTCTCCTGTCTTTTTCTCCAAGGCGTACATGGTTCACCCCCCAACTCCTCAGTAAATCTCAACAACAACACTGCGAGGTAGGTTAGGCAGCTATGTCTGGTCCAAGGCCACCCACTGAGCTTCATGACTGAGCGGGGATTTGAACCTTGATTTTCCAGGTCCTAGTCCGACACTCTAACCACTACACCACACTGGCTTCCTGGAGTACTTCAGCTACAGTAAAGGTAAAGGGAGCCCTGACCATTAGGTCCAGTCGTGACCGTCTCTGGGGTTGTGGCGCTCATCTCGCTTTACTGGCCGAGGGAGCCGGCGTACAGCTTCCAGGTCATGTGGCCAGCATGACTAAGCCGCTTCTGGCGAACCAGAGCAGTGCACGGAAACGCCGTTTACCTTCCCGCCAGAGCGGTACCTATTTATCTACATGCACTTTGACATGTTTTCGAACTGCTAGGTTAGCAGGAGCAGGGACCGAGCAACGGAAGCTCACCCCGTCATGGGGATTCGAACCGCCGACCTTCTGATCGGCAAGCCCTAGGCTCTGTGTTTTAACCCACAGCGCAACCCGCATCCACTTCTACTAGGGGCAGCTATATAAATTATTAGGCGAATAAACATGGGGAAAGCAAAATGTCCCTTAGGGAAAGATCTGAAATATTTTCCTTGAACCTTGAATTTGTTTTATTCTGGATTGTTTTATTTGAAGTTATAATTTGTTGTAAATTGCTTTGAGGTTTTTTTCCTTTAAAATATAAAGAGGTATAGAAATGAAATAATAATAAATAATAATAATAATTTCATTGCAAAAGAAAATGGCACCTAGGCATTCCGTGGTGGCAACTGTAACCTAGATGCAAGGTGCCATTTGGCTACTGCATTATATAGCTGAGTTTCTAACACTCTGTGTAAGATTGTTGAGCCACCAGACACTGACTCGTTGCAGGAGGAGAAGAGAACCATTGACTCAAGTGCATTTGAAGAGGCCCTTGGGGGGAATGTGCCACAGCAGCTAGCAAAGAGCCACTTTTGTCTAGTTGCCCTGGGCAAGTAACCATGGAGGCTACGAGCATAGAAAGTGGCCTCTGGCCCACTGAGCCAACCCCTTGCCTATGCCAACTAGGAGTGAGTCTCCAAAAAGGGAGGTGAAATGTTCTGGGTTGCTCTTGTCTAACACATCACTGCCTCCAGTAGTGAAATCGGGTGGTGGGTGTCGGCCAAAACGGGAGTAAAAACTGTGCTACAGAGAAACAAGAGGGAGGTTATCAGCGTGCTCAAGAGGGGGCAGATTTGCAAAGCACAAAAAAAAAAAAAAAATCCAAAATTTACAATATCTATTTAAACAAAAAACCCAGCCTAATGACAACAGCATCTGCATCTTTAGTAGTCATGAAATGTTAGTGATTAGTTGGAAGAGCAAAATGGGAATCGGGAGGAACAGAGGTTTGGGCCAGCTGGCACACTGTGTTGGGAGTTGTGGTCAAAATCGTCTAGTTTATAGCATCCTGGAGGAGCAGCATGGCTGTCTGGGCCTAAACCAGTGGTGTCCAAACTTTTTTCAAAGAGGGCCAGGTATGATGAAGTGAAGGGCCGTGGGGGCCGACCAAAGTTTAGGATTGAAGTTGTTGAGTTTTTTAGGGGCCGTATTAAACCGACCGGTGGGCCGGGTTAGACCCCTGAAGCTGACTTTGGACATGCCTGGCCTAAACCATTGGTGAGAGGGGTGAGGATACTCTGAAAGAATTTCAGCCCAAGGGGGACAGGTGAACCTTTCAATAAAATGCCTCAATCCAGGATACTATAAGCTAGACGGACTTTTTATTATTTTTCTACTTGGTATCTTCTTCCCCAGGCATCTAGCCGACACCTGATTTTTAGTTTCTCCCACGCACTGTTCTCCTCGCCACTCTCCTCTTATTTTCAGACATTTCTCTCCATCCCCACCTAACCCTTCCTCGACACGGGGAATAATTCGAACAAGGCCTTCCAAAAGAACAACTCAAGAATCTTTCTCAGAGCTAGAGATCAACTCTGCAATATATGCAGCAACTGTCATGAGAAGAGCAGCTCTGAGCATGTGCAAAGTTTCTCCCCCCCCCAACACTAAGGGGCTGCAACCAGCGGCCAATCACTGGAGAAGGGGAGGGGGCGCCTCCCACATCAGGTGACTCCCAGGTAAGGCCCGAGTACTGCCTGGGTCACCACTGCAAACACAGCCCCTCTCTTCGCTGGGATGTCTGGATCTCAACTGCTACGCTACCCCCCCAGCTTCCTCTTAAATACTGCAAAACCCTTTGCACCGCCTGCCTACATGCTCTAGTCAAGAATGAAACTGGATCGCCATGCACAACCCCCTCAACAGATTAGGAGTAATAAAAATATATTGAAGGGCTTGAATGGAAACCCGTTTTGGGAACAGAGTGGAATGTCCTCCTTCTGCAGCGCCTCCTGACTCACTCCTGTGCAAGTCCCAAATGCTGCAGAAAATGCATTAATCTGGAGGTCGTGAGCGGGCCTGGCTTTGTCCCGAAAGCCACCCAGCAGGCAAATGCACAAAAGAGCCCAGGGCGACGCCTGAAATGAATACGGGGGAACCAGGGGAAGAGAGTTCTCCACAGGCAAGAGTGTCTCGTTTCCCTGAAAGTGGAAACGGGATCCTTCAAGTAGGTCGGCGCCTCTGCCAACCCTCCTGCTCACACCAGCAATCGAAGAGAGGACCTGTCCTCTAACCAAGTGCAATGGGCTTAGATGGCACTATAAAAAGGGGGAAAGTATTTCCTATGGAGGGGACGCGGGTGGTGCTGTGGTCTAAACCACTGAGCCTCTTTGGCTTGCCAATCAGAATGTCGGCGGTTCGAATCCCCGCGACGGGGTGAGTTCCCGTTGCTCGGTCCCAGCTCCTGCCAACCTAGCAGTTCGAAAGCACACCAGTGCAAGTAGATAAATAGGTACCGCTCCAGCGGGAAGGTAAACGGCGTTTCCGTGCACTGCTCTGGTCCTGCTGGCCACATGACCCGGAAGCTGTACGACGGCTCCCTCGGCCAGTAAAGCGAGATGAGCGCTGCAACCCCAGAGTCAGCCACGACTGGACCTAATGGTCAGGGGCCCCTTTACCTATTTCCTATGGAGGGAGAAGTCTAGGAGACAAAACGCCTAGAGAGATTTGGCCTTGGAGGCCAGGAATTGAACGTCAACAAGGAAGACTCTCGCGGGGATGACAAGGACCTCTCTCGGCCACAGCACCAATGTGGAGGGCCAGCCACACCTCAGATGCCTACTAGGACAGACCCTTTAACGCCGCACTCTTCTGATTCAGCCAAATGGGAAGCATCACGGGCAAACCCACACAAGTGACACTGCTGCTTCCACATGGCCATGGTGCCCAGAATCGATTATGAAAGTTGCAGCTCCAAACATCTGGAGAGCAGCAAGCTAAGGGAGACTGATTTGGATCACCAGTAAGTTCCACGGGACAGCGTTTCACGTGATCAAAGAGCGGCTATAAAGTTCTTTGCACAGCAGAACTGGAACAGAATCGAACAAAGAGCAAAATAACGGCATGCAGAACAGAAAAGGCTCGACGTGCCAGAGTCAGCATTTTTGCTCAATCATCTCACTCACGACAATTGCTCATCTTCGGTCATGTCTGCCCCTCTAGGTAAGAGGAAGAGAAGTGATGCCAGGGTGATGCCCAATTCTACGAGGACAGCTCTTACACTGGATGGCAGTAATGAATCATCAGGGGGGAAATACAAAATAAATAAATAACCCAAAAGATTCCTGCATTGCGGGGGGAAGGTTGGACTAGATGACCCTCGTGATCCCCTCAAATGCTGCAATTCTGTGAGTCCCATGTTCCTCCAGGTGTCTGGGTCCTCAGCCACTTAGGTCTCCAAAGGCCAAGTGCCAATGAGGTCCTTGCAATTTATGCAAGCGAGATTATGATCTCTCTCGGTCTAACCCAGGGGTAGGCAACCTAAGGCCCGGGGACTGGATGAGGCCCAATCGCCTTCTCAATCCGGCCCGCAGACGGTCCAGGAATCAGAGTGTTTTTACATGAGTAGAATGTGTGTTTTTATTTAAAATGCATCTCTGGGTTATTTGTGGGGCCTGCCTGGTGTTTTTACATGGGTAGAATGTGTGCTTTTATTTAAAATGCCTCTCTGGGTTATCTGTGGGGCATAGGAATTCGTTCGTTTTATTTTTTCAAAATATAGTCCGGCCCCTCACAAGGTCTGAGGGACAATGGACCGGCCCCCTGCTGAAAAAGTTTGCTGACCCCTGGTCTAACCTATCTCACAGAGTTATGGGGATTAAAGCGTGGGTGGGTGGGTGGGTCTTGTGTACTGCCCACACCTACAAGGGAAAGGGATAGGATAAAAATGGATGGGAGACAAGATGGAAAGAAGAGTCGGTTTGTCCAAGCCCACCAGGCGAGTTTCTGGCAAAGGTAAGATTTGAAGCAAAGATGTTGGCTCACAGGCTATTTCATGCAGCTGTGCTGGTTAGAGCATGGTTCTGACAATGCCCCGGTCACTGGTCTGACCGCCCCAGAGCTAAATGATCCTCAGGTTTCCTTCCAACTCTATGAGTCTAAGCCACTAGGCTTATTCTCAGCTTGGGAGGCATCTTTAACGTACCATCTCTAGAACATAGACTGTTTGTGTTTCTAGTTAACTGGAGCAAAGTCTTTGGCCACCTTAAAAGGTAAACCTACTACTGTATACATTTACTGGAAAATAAGCTCCACTGGATTTAGCGGGAGGATTTACCAGGTAAGCACATGCACTCATATTAATGCCTGTATAAAAAAGACACACATGAATTCTGGGCACGCCTGAACCTACCTTTTTCTATTTCTCCTTTAGATACCTTAAAATGGACTCAAGCACATGCCTGTTTTTAGTATGGAAGGGTTAACCCCTCCCATCCCATAGGGTCTATCCTTTACTCACTTCCTTACCTACAAAAGCACATACAGTGGTACCTCGGGTTAAGAACTTAATTCGTTCCAGAGGTCCATTCTTAACCTGAAACTGTTCTTAACCTGAAGCCCCACTTTAGCTAATGGGGCCTCCTGCTGCCGCCGGAGCATGATTTCTGTTCTCATCCTGAAGCAAAGTTCTTAACCCGAGGTACTATTTTTGGGTTAGCAGAGTCTGTAACCTGAAGTGTCTGTAACCTGAAGTGTCTGTAACCCAAGGTACCACTGTATCACAATAAATCTGTCAGTCATTAAGATGCCAAAATGCACAATTATTGCTGAATGTCGCAGCTGGACACTTTCCCTACTTCTAGGATATTTGAACAAGCCTAAATCCTCCAAAGCACATGATTCTGAAAGATAAAGAGTAGATTTGGGGTTTAAGAAGGCGTCCCAAGAGCCCAGTGGCACACCAGTTGTCCTCCTTGAATGACTGCGGGAGAGAAAAGCAAAGTAAGAACTTTCTGAGAAGACCAGCCCGGCATGCATTTTGCAGTAAACCAGAAATGGGAATTTTTTTGTTGAGATGAGCAGTCCTTTATATTGGGCCCTAAAGCTGCAAACCCAGAGGTGAGAGAAGTGCAAGGAGGCTGCGCCCAGAATATTTTAAAATTACGTTTCAACAAGTTCTAAACACTGGCTGTTTTATTATGTAATTCTACTGTCATGGAGGCTCTTCCGGTGCTTTTACAACTGACTAGTTATTAAAGTTTATTATTATTATTTCATTTATTGCTTTATTATTATTTATGAATACTGTTTATGAATTTTTACTGTGAATTGCCCTGGAAGATATGAGCGTTGTTTATATGCATGTGGTGCAGTGGTTAGAGTGTTAGGTCAGGTGAGACCAGGGTTCAAATCTCCACTCAGCCATGAATCTCACTGGGTGACCTTGGGGCCAGTCACCACCTCTAAGCCTAACCTACCTCACAGGGCTGTTGTGAGGAAAATGGGAAAAAGGAGAACTTTGTACCTTGAGTTCCTGTTTTGTATGTATTAATAAGAAAACAAAATAAAATAACTATCCTATAAATAAATAGCATTTCCCACAAGTGAGCTGGGGGACGGGACAGGGATTGTAGACCACATGGTCAGAGCAGTACCCAAAGTAGTCCTGCAGTAAAACTAGTTGCATACCAGAGCTTTAGCACATTCATATTGACGGTAATCCCCAAAAGGGAGTCCACTTGTTTCGTGGAATTTCTGGTGCTCTAAAATAGTGAAAATGGGTCCATGGAAGGCTAGAAGACAGGTCTAACTGGGCCACACTGGCTTTGCAACTATCTTTAGACATGGGCGCGACTCCCAAGAATGCACCCGAACCTTATCAACATTTGCAGGGAAAAGTTACCTTACACTCCGCCACCCACTGCAGTGGCTTCCTCCCAGCTCCCTAGGCCGGGCAAAGAAGAAATCAGGACGAGATCAGTTGCATTCAAGCTATTAAGAAGCCAGTAACCATTCAGGCTCCTTTGGCTCCAAGCTGCTGCCCTGCATGGAATCTGTAACCTGTAGCTCTGCTCTCAGAAACCTGTAGCTCTGGTCTCTGAAAGCAACTTACAGCTTCCCAGGGAGAAACTGCAAGACCAGGAGAGGGAGGCAAAGTACAAGCAGCGTTCCTTATCTCACACACATTCAAAGTGAGTTTCGTAGCCGGGCAAAAATGCAGGCTCAAGGCCCGTGCTAAAGTAAAAGGGGCTAGATTTTCTTCCTACCCTCCACGAATGAAGCCTGGGCTTCTGAGCATTCAGAGGCAGGCTTAGAGTTTCAAAGGCAGGGAACTTGCATAAGCTACCACAACACAAACCAGGCCCGTTTCAGAATAATCCAGGCATGCAAGCTTGCCGCTGGGAGGAATAAAAGGAAGTTAAGTCTCCCCCTGGTGTTACAACCCAGAGCAGCTGGACAGAAACGCACCATGGCAAAAATTAGAGATAAGGGAAACCATCAGGACTGAGGCCAAGAGAGACAACTTTTCCACAGCCTCAGGGATTTAAGCAGCGTACTACAACAAGGGACATGACCGACACTCCCAAATCAATAAGATTTGCTTTTTAATCCAAACAGCTTGTCAAACTACACAGGTTGCAGCGAAGTATCTCTGCGTGTTTTTTAAAACCAGGGTTTATTTTGAGAGAAGTGTTAGCACCATGATTCAGTTTTTTATGTTTATGGCACAGCACGAATTGACAACACACACATTTGCTTAGCTCTGCATAAATCCATGCCAAGTGCTGAAGAATCCGTGCGTGGTGCCAAGAGATCTGTCACAACAGTTACGTCTACGGTATCTACATCTTCAACTCCTCAGAACTGGGCTAGGATCAAGCTAAGGTGCTTCCAACACTCGTTTTGAACTGTAATCCCCACCTCTTCTGCAGAGGAGTGCCATGACTTGCACCACAAAGTGCACAGCCAGTTAATCGGCTATGATAAGGTGGGCACAGGATATTGGGCATAACATTATGTTTGAGGACTGGGAAAGGCTGTGGAGTAATGGATTGAAATTCACTGCATGTAATGCTTTGAAAGAAAATGTAATGAAAATGATTTATAGATGGTATATGACCCCAGTCAAACTCGCAAAAATTTACCACCTGTCTGATAACAAGTGCTGGAAATGTAAAGAGTGTGAAGGAACGTTCTTTCACCTCTGGTGGACCTGCCCTAAAGTGAAGGCGTTCTGGGAAATGATTTATAATGAATTGAAAAAGGTATTTAAATATACTTTCACTAAGAAACCAGAGGCTTTCCTTTTGGGTATTGTCAGCCAAGGGGTGGCAAAGAAGGACCAGACATTTTTTATGTATGCAACAACAGCAGCAAGGATACTACTCGCAAAACATTGGAAAACTCAAGATCTACCCACACTGGAAGAATGGCAAATGCAACTGATAGACTATATGCAACTGGCTGAAATGACTGGCAGAATCCGTGACCTGGGAGAAGAGAGAATCGAGGAGGATTGGAAGAAATTTAAGAACTATCTACAAAAGCATTGTGATTTGACTGAATGCTGAATAAGATGCTAGACTAAATAACTGAGCACCACTTAACTTAGAAGTTTTTAAGAAAATAAGAAAAGCTGTGAAAGTTTAACTCTTTATGAGAACTTTAAGATTATGAAATATCGAAGAGATAGAAGAACTTAAATAAGATGATAAATTGCTGACAAAATGTTATAATGATGAAGGTGGGAGCGGGAGATGTGAGGAAGTCCAAAGAAAATGTGAAATAATGTTAAGACGAATGTTATATTGTTTATTACATTTATTCCTATTGTAAAATCCAATAAATTGCTTTAAAAAAAAAAAAAACAAAGTGCACAGCCAGTTAAATCCGATGCCTGAAACTTCTCTCACGCACCAACCGCAGTTCTCCAAAGAGGACTACAGTTACTCATCTACAGAATGAGCCTCCGGGCCTACTTCTCCAGCACCCATGCTGCGGCGGTTGCAAAAGGAGTAGAATGAAAAAGGGTGCTGGGTGTGGGCAGTTGTGAAGGTGCAACCCAGTCCCCTTACATATGCAGTTGGGAGCACAAGAGAAAGGGAAGGGCTTGGATTCTACCCGATTGAGAAGCCACTGCTCAGGAACCCACCTTTGCCCTGCAAGGCCTAGGAAGATGCCTTAAAACTCATCACATGGGAACGCACCGGCATTCTGCAAAAGCCCCAAGTCTACTCATATCCCAAAGCCGCTTCCCGTACCCAATGTGCCTTGAGGCCTGCACACACACACCCTGTCAAGCCTTCCGAGCAGCACCCTCCCAGAATCCCCCGCAGCTACTTTGCTCACCCGACCTCTGCCCAACCCTCTGGCACCCCTCGCCTCTGGCTGCCCTGGCACTTGCTTCCCACGCCCCTCTCCTGCCCAGACCCAACAGCCCCAGCTTATCCCTCCCTGCCAGGGTCTCTCCTCCTCGTCCACCTCGGCCCAATCCCACAGGGTCCTTCTGAACAGGAGCCTGACCCTTTGGCTTCAAAGACCCTTCCACCCCCATCCGGTGTGCAGGAGGCCCAAGCCCTTCCTGACTGCATCCGTCCCGAGCGACTTGGGGTGACAGAGTACAATTAATTATTAATTATTATTATCATCATCATCACTACTACTACTATTCTAGTTTCTGAGCTCCTTTCCCTGCCTGTTTCCACGACCCTCTCGTGACCCTCCCCAATCCCCCCACCCCCAACACGCCTGGCCCTCTGCCCCCCCAATATTATTATTATTACTACGACTATTCCCGTTCCTGAGCTCCTTTCCCCGCCTGTCTCCATGGCCTGCCTCGAGCCTCTCGTGACCCTCCCCAATCCCATCCCACCCCCACCACGCCTGGCCCTCTGCCCCCCACTATTATTATATTATTACTACTACTACTACTATTCTACTTTCTGAGCTCCTTTCCCCGTCCTGTCTCCATAGCCCACCTCGACCCTCCCCAATCCCCACGACCACCACCACGCCTGGCCCTCTGCCCCCCACTGTTATTATTACTACTACTCTCTCGTGACCCTCCCCGATCCCCCCCCCAAAAAACCACCCCCACGCCTGGCCCTCTGCCCCCCACGTGCGCCCTTGCCTGGGGAATCCTCCTTCCCTCCGGGGCTCCCCATGCGCCTTGGGTGGGCCTGGGCTGCCCTTCCCCTCCCCAACCCCCGCCCCACATTGGGGGGGGGAGGCGGTTCGCCGCCCCCTCCCCTCCCCCCCCCCCGCTCACCGATCTCTGCAGCTCCCCGAGCCAGAGGCTGGCGCGCTCCTTGCCGCTGGGGTCCGGGTCGTGGTACAGGGCCTGCACGGCCTGGTACACCACTTGCAGGTTCGGCTTCCCGCCTCCGCCCGAGCCGCCGCCGCCGCCTCCGCCGCCTCCGCCCGTGGCGGGTCCCGGGCAGCCGCCGCCTCCGCCACCAGGATCCATCCCTCCTCCTCCTCAGGCCTCCTCAGCCATTACCGGGAGAGGGAAGAAGAAGAAGGCCTCGCCCCCCCCCCCCCGCGGAAACCGCGCCCCGCCGCGTGAGGGGAGAAAGTTCCAGCGCCCTCAGCCCAGGCCCCGGCCGCGGAAAGGCCCACGCCGCCCGACTCGCCTTCCCCGAGGGGCTGAGGGAAGGAAAAGAGCCCCGCGGAAGGGGGAAGAGGGGGGAAAAAACAACCCCGCGCGGCCCAGCGAAAGAGCGAAGGCCCCGTCCTGCCCCGTCCTTTGCTGGCTCGCGGCGCTCCCGCCCGGAACCGACGGCAACCGACGACGCACTTCCGGGCGGGCGGGCGGCGGGGGGCCGCCGCCAAAGGCGTCCGGGCGGCAGCACGCGCCCGGCCGGAAGTGGCCCGCCCTTGCGCCGGGAGGCGGGAAAAAGGGAACCGGCCCTTCTCTCTCTGTGTCTCCTCACTAATAATGGGAGAGGGGACCAGCCTTTCAAAAGAAAATAAAATAAAATATCATACTGTTGTTGTTGTTGTTGTTATTGGGCTGTTCCTGGAACAGCTGGTTTGGCAGGCAGAAGTTCAACAGCTGCAGCGCACGTGGGTGGGGGGTTAAAAAAAAACCTTCCCTCTTATCTGGCTTGCTGCTCCCTTCTCTGTGTGTGTCTCTGTGTCTCCTCACTAAGAATGTGAAAGGGGACCAGCCTTTTCAAATAAAATAAAATATCATACTGTTGTTGTTGTTGTTATTGGGCTGTTCCTGGAACAGCCAGCTTGGCAGGCAGAAGTTCAACAGCTGAGTATAGGGACTGTTAAAAAAAAACCTACCTCCCTCTTTTCTGGCTTGCTGCGCCTGTTGGGTTTCTGCCTGCTTGAAAGGACAGCCTTGCCAGGAAAGGATCGATTGTTTTTATATGTTGATGCTGCCTCTGCAACTGTTCCTGGAACAGCTGGCTTGGCAGGCAGAAGTTCAACAGCTACAGCGCACTTGGGTGTGGGGGGGTTTAGAAAAAAACCCTCCCTCCCTCTTATCTGACTTGCTGCGCCTGTTGGGTTTCTGCCTGCTTGAAAGGGCAGCCTTGCCAGGAAAGGATCATTTTTATATGTTGATCCTGTTTCTGCAGTGTCCTCTGGGTAAGAGCCAGTGCTGGTCTCACCCCCCACTAAGGAAATGGTGTGTGAAATGCCGTATTTTTCGCTCTATAAGATGCACCAGACCACAAGACGCACCTAGTTTTTGGAGGAAAACAAGAAAAAAATATTCTGAATCTCAGAAGCCAGAACAGCAAGAGGGATCACTGCGCAGTGAAAGCAGCAATCCCTCTTGCTGTTCTGGCTTCTGGGATAGCTGCGCAGCCTGCATTCGCTCCATAAGACGCAGACACATTTCCCCTTACTTTTTAGGAGGGAAAAAGTGAGTCTTATAGAGCAAAAAATACTGTATACTCAAAGTCGAGTGTGGGTTTCATTGCTCTTTATTCAGCTCATAGTGGTGAGGAGGAATAAAAGTTCCCCCAGAATGTCTGCATTATATACTTTATTTACATAATGGGCTGCACGTGATTGGCTAATTCTGGGATTCTCCTGTAGGCCAATCAGGTTGCGGATTCACTTCCACCTGGAGCTGGATTGGGTGGCTCCTGCGGACCAATCAGACTGTTGCATTGTTCTAGGACCAATCAGACTGCTGCATTCTGGACCCTATTGTTCTAGGACCAATCAGACTGCTGCCTTTTGGATCCTATTCAACTCAGTACATAACAGTGTGATTTTAGAACACATGCACCCACCCTGGAAAGAAGAAGAAGAAGAAGAAGAAGAATTTATTATTTATACTCCAGCCACTCTGGACGGCTTCCAACTGAATATTAAAAACCATACAGAAGAAGATAAAGTCCCTACCAGAGAAGAATGGCAGATGAAGTTGATGGATTATACCAAAATGGCTAAAATGACCGGAAGAGTCAGAAATCAGGAAGACCAAAGTTTTAACAAAGAATGGGGAAAAATTATAACTTACCTTAAAGACCATTGTAAAGAGTTAAAATCATTAGTAGGATTGGAATAGCACTTGTATTTAAGGTTGAATTCTGGACTTAATGGAAGTGCTAAAGGGTTTGAATTATCATAAAAGATGCGGGAGGAAATGATAAATAATAGGACCTACAAAGGGGAGGATAGAAGCCCAGGAGATACCTTGGAATCTGTTTTTTAATGATTTATGTTTGATGGATCTCTGAAAATTTTTAATTTGAAAAACCAAATAAATTGTAAAAAAATAGACCACACCCTGCTGCTACTGCAGCAACAGCCTTTGATTCCCACTACAACCACTGCGTATGGTTGATTTTATACCCCCTCCCGCTTGTTCCTGATGTAGATCTTCACAGATCCATTCTTTCCTGCTCTCCCATTTTGTGGTTCGCCTCAGGTGCCCAACTGCCTTGAGCAGGCCCTGGCTGATCAATGAGTTCTTCAGAGAAGAACTTGAGAGCTAGGCCCCTTTAGGACACCTCGGACGAGGGCCTTCTTGGTGGTGGCCCACATACCCTGCCGAAGCACCCTTTGCAATGTGCCATTTGGGAGGCGAAAAGCCATACTTTAAAACACCTCTTGAAAGCACACCTTTTTATGTAGTGGTCCCCTGGGTAATAACGCTTTACCGCTTTGTTCTGTTTTTGTTGACATGTGTATCATTTTGCCTTGTTTTATTAGTTTTTTAAAAACTTTTAATGTAAACTGCTCAGAGATCAGGTAGGTAGTAGTGTTGGTCTGACGCAGTCGAAATTAAAATAATAAAAATAAAAAATTGTCCAGTAGCACCTTATAGACCAACTACAGTGGTGCCCCGCAAGACGAATGCCTCGCAAGATGAAAAACCCGCTAGACGAAAGGGTTTTCCGTTTTTCGATGTGCTTCGCAGGACGAATTTCCCTATGGGCTTGCTTCGCAAGACTAAAATGTCTTGCGAGTCTTGAGATTTTTTTCGCTTTTCCCCCCCTTTTTCTAAGCCACTAAGCCGCTAATAGCCTTTTAGCTGCTAAGCCGCTAAGCCTTTAATAGCCGCTAAACCGCTAATAGCGCTAATCCGCTAAGCCGCTAATAGGGTTGCTTCGCAAGACGAAAAAACCGCTAGACGAAGAGACTCGCGGAACGGATTAATTTCGTCTTGCGAGGCACCACTGTAAGTTTGTTCTGGTATAAGCTTTCATGTGCATGCACACTTCTTCACAGAACAGTGTATAGTAAGCAGCATAAAATATTATTATCATTATTATTATTATTATTAATAATAATAATAATAATAATGTCATACCATAAGAGGTGTGATGTCAGGGTGTAAAAGGTGTTGGAGAAAGGAATACCAAGACCATAGGCTGGACCTTAAGAAACTTGTAAGCCCAGGACATGTTGAAAAGAAAGGAAGATAGTTATTTGAAGGAGGTAATTTTATTAGAAAGAGGATATTGGAAAACTGTTAGAAGGTGATTCAATGAAATTCAGATGGGGGGAATTCGCGGAAGTCAGTTAACAATGTCAGTGAAATTGGGTTCTAGAGTAATATTGGTTTGTTTTCTTGTCTTTTTCTTTTCTTTTTCTTTCTTTTTAGTATTGTAATGTCTTTTTCTTTGTGTGTTGTATTTGTTATAAATTTGGAAAATCAATAAAAAAATTGGGGGAAAGAAAAGAAACATGTAAGCCCCACAACTTCTCTTTTTTAAAACCATTGTTTATTTAAAGTGCAGTAAAATGGCTACATACAAATTACAAAAAAACAGAAAACACAGCACAAAGCCGTACACAGTGTAACAATAGCAGTTCCAAGGCAACTCAAAAACCAGGCACAATGTGTTGATTAAAACCTGAGAAAATAAAATATTTTATTTTATTTTATTATTTTCTTCCCTTAGGTATAAAAAGAAGGGAGACCGGGTTTCATCAAAGGGATTTTCCTTTACAAGCCCATTTGCAACTCTTCCAAGCCCAGTTAGCCTCACCAACTCTTTTCCTAAAACATTAGCCACTGAGCATAAGTTTGTGTGCGTCACATAGGGGGTGTTCTACGAAAGAGGGTCTCAAGAATGCTATGTACTGACGTTCTCACCCTGGGCCAGCAGGGGGATACTGTAGTTTTCACTCAGGTCCATGTATGCAAATAAGGGATTGAAAGGGACGTTCAGTGATTGGATAGTTACAGAAAGTGGTTACTGTTGCTTTGTAGTTGAGCTCTATATACGCAGGCTGGCTGAACCCTTCAGTTCTGTTCTGGCCTGTGAATAAACAAGAGCTGTTTGAGGAATCGCTGTGTCGTCTGATATGTTCACCCACAACTAAACAGAGAGGGTTTGAAACTTATTATTAAGTGGAATATAAATATTGAGAAAATGAGGTTCATGGAAGAGAGATACTGCTGCGAGGACTTTCTATGCTGCTTGGAATCCGTGTGCCTGGTTTGAATACCATGAGTTGTGTGGTGTCGCTTTGTTGCAGGAATTTATGTATAGGTTGGGGGGTTGCCCTTCCAGCAGATATCATGCACATGCAGCCCACTACCAAAACCAGCACAATCGCCTTTGTGACTTTTGTGATGTTTTAATGTATTTTTAATCTTTTGTTGGGAGCCACCCAGAATGGCTGGGGAAACCCAGCCAGATGGGCGGGGTATAAATAAATTATTATTATTATTATTATTATTGCTACTACCACTACCAGGTCGAGTCAGCGACTACAGTGGACTCTTAGGCATTGCCAAAAGGGGCGGGCACATATCTGCATAAAATCTGCATGAGGTGCTATAATGGTATGGGGTTGCTCGTGCGTAAGTTGCCGCCTCTCCTGGCTATGTTGCCTTGTTAAACCTTTCTGTCTGGACAGCCCTTCAATTCGTGGCTGCCTCAGTCGCTAGCAGAATCCGTCAGTGGGCGTTTCTTAAACCTTTTCCAACATAAAAGTTGTTTGACACCCAGTCTCCTCCTACTTTCTCTGCGCGGAAGTCTTCTGCGCAGGGAGGGCGTGGGTAGTGGAGGACCAGTGCTCTCCCCGCTGGTGTCCGGTGAAGAGTCTGGGAGCCCTCTCTCCGATTCCCCCATCTGCCCCTCCTTATTCCTGGTGTTGCACTGAATTGCTTCCCCATCTGCTGAGCTGCCTCTCTCCCTGCTGGGCCCTTCTCCAGCATCATTAGAGAGCCTCCCCTCCACCTCTAGCTCCGATGTCAGTTCCCTGACAGGTGCTTTATAGATGCTGTAAGTTTAGAATGAAGTCCTACAATGTAAATAGAAATATAGTACATCTTGCCCTTGTGGAGGAGAGTTTGGTCAGATGTGTGCTTGCTTATTCTGTTGCCTGGGTGCT